CAAAATAATCAGAGTCCTTGTAGAGTCCTGCACGTAGGCCATATTGCTATCTAATACTAACAATTGTTATGCCTTCATCAAGCAAACATGAGAAGAGCACCAGGAAGAAGTAAAGACTGAATTAAAGAGGGACATAAAAGGAGAGGATGCTGCTGCTCAACCAACATGCAGCGGGCGCCCCCTAGTGGTGAATAATTCAGAGCTTTACAAGAGCAGATTAAAAACATACTCATCATTTGTTATTACTACAAATCTTTTTTTCCATAATTAACAGTTTGAACAGATGTACGTCTGAGCATCGCTTTATGGAGGACAAAGTATCAGGAAATGCTGCATCATGAATAATATTCTCTTATCAGACAAACAGGGAACTTTTCAGATGTTTTTGACGGATATTTTCTTTTATGGATGACAAAAAGAACAATATTTCTAAACAAATTTGATACACATAAAACATGTATTTAGGATTTTGCAGTTAATGTTCCCTGTCGCCCCAAAAGTAAAAGAAACAAGATTTTAAATGTCACCAAGGACGGAAGCCTTAAAGAATGACTTCAACTGGCTTTAATTAAAAAGCAGACTTTAATAATAATCCATCCATCCATTTTCTTCCGCTTTATCCGTTGCCGGGTCGCGGGGGCAGCAGTCTAAGCAGAGACGCCCAGACTTCCCTATCCACACCATAAACTGTATATATTAATGGATAGAGTCACGCCTATCTCCGCCGTTCTAACTAATTGGCCAAAAAATGTGCTCTACTGGAGCAATCCAAAATGGCCGCGAGTGGTCCCGCCCACAAGAAAATTGTGAAAAAACGCATCTGCGCATGCGTCAGCCGGCGCAACTCCATTCATTTGAACGAGAGACTTCAAAGATTCACAGCAAGTAAACTAGAGTGGACCAAAAAAATCCACCCCCCTCAGCATTGACACACATGTGGAACGGAGCTTTGGGCCAAGAGACAACTTTTGGACCATCCTGTAAAGATGTTTTTGAGAGGTCTACCAATGCTATATGTTAGCATTGGCTAATTCTACTTCTGGGTCTACCCCCATCGGCCCGGGGTGGTATTGCAAGCATGTCAGCGCACGCCATTTTGGCCACTTTTGAGCTGGGACCCTCCCCCACTGACCCACACACACTTCCTCCAGCTTGTCCGGGGGGACCCCAAGGCGTGCCCAGGCCAGCTGAGAGACATAGTCCCTCCAGCGTGTCCTGGGTCTTCCCCGGGGCCTCCTCCCGGTGGGACGTGCCCGGAACACCTCCCCAGGGAGGCGTCTAGGAGGCATCCGGAACAGATGCCCGAGCCACCTCAACTGGTTCCTCTCGACATGGAGAAGCAGCGGCTCTACTCCGAGCTCCTCCCGTGTGACTGATCTCCTCACCCTATCTCTAAGGGAGCGCCCAGCCACTCTGCGGAGGAAGCTCATTTCGACCGCTTGTATCCGCGATCTCGTTCTTTCGGTCATTACCCAAAGCTCATGACCATAGGTGAGGGAGGGAACGAAGATTGACCGGTAAATCGAGAGCTTTGCCTTTCGGCTCAGCTCCCTCTTCACCACAACGGTCCGATACAGCTCTGACTGCAGATGCTGCTCCCTCTTTACCACAACGGTCCGATACAGAGACCGCATCACTGCGCACGCTGCACCGATCCGCCTGTCAATCTCACGCTCCATCCTTCCCTCACTCGTGAACAAGACCCCGAGATACTTGAACTCCTCCACTTGAGGAAGGACCACTCCACGCACCTGTAGAGGGCAAGGCACCTTTTTCCGGTCGAGCACCATGGCCTCGGATTTGGAGGTGCTGATTCTCATCCCAGCCGCTTCACACTCGGCTGCAAACCGTCCCAGTGCATGCTGCAGGTCCTGGTTCGTTGGAGCCAACAGGACAACATCGTCCGCAAAAAGTAGAGATGAAATCCTGTGGTTCCCGAACCGGACCCCCTCCGGCCCCTGGCTGCGCCTAGAAATTCTGTCCATAAATACAGTGAACAGAAGCGGTGACAAAGGGCAGCCTTGGCGGAGGCCAACATGCACCGGGAACAGGTCTGACTTACTGCCGGCAATGCGAACACAGCTCTGACTCCGGTCATACAGGGACCAGACGGCCCTCAGCAGAGGACCCCGGACCCCGTACTCCCGGAGGACCCCCCAAAGGACACCCCGGGGAACACGGTCGAACGCCTTCTCCAAATCCACAAAGCATATGTGGACAGTTTGGAGCGAACTTGGAGTATCCGATGGAGAGTGTAGAGCTGGTCCAGTGTTTGGGTGTGTGGACTGGGTCGTCGAGGTCTCCGCCTTCGACTGTTACCCAGTCCTCGCTGCACCTCGCCACCACGGACCCCTCTGCAGGTGGTGGGCCCACAGGAGGGACTGCCCACGTCATCCCTTCGGGCTGAGCCCGGCCGGGCCCCGTGGGCTAAGGCCCGGCCACCAGGCGCTCGCTTGCGAGCCCCGACCCCAGGCCTGGCTCCAAGGTGGGGCCCCGGCTGCGCCATGCCGGGCGACGTCACCGTTCTAATATAAGTGCTGTCCATGGTTGGCTTCGGACTGCGCTTCGTCTGACTCGTCACTTGAGACCTGTCTGCCATGGGAGGCCCTACCAGGGGCATGAAGCCCCAGACAGCATAGCTCCCAGGATCATCCAAGTGCTCAAACTCCCCCACCACGTTAAGGTGGCAGTCCAAGGGGGAGGATTTTGATGATTATGAGTTTTAATAATTTTTAAAAGTTTTTTTTTTTTCTTCACTTTATTGATTGATCAAATTGAGTGATCACATGTGATTATGTGATCAAAGGGGTGAGTGTTAGTATTAGATAGCAATATGGCCTACGTGCAGGACTGTACAAGGACTCTGATTATTTTGACTATGATGTGACTGTCTCTGTGTGACACGTACGTCTTTCAATGTGTGACGTGACAATGACTACAGTATATAAACTGTGTACTGACTCCATTTTGTCTGAGAGAAAGAAACAAAGGAAACCACTGGAACTTGAGAGAAACTTAAATAAACTTCCAGAGTTTGGCGCACCACGATCCGTCTCTGTCTGCTTCATCCCTGACAAACCAACTGAAAATATGTGTTATATTCTCGGTTCAAAGTAGCACCATTTTATATATATGTAACCAGGTGAAGAAATATTTCTTGTTGTAAAAGCTTGTGTTTTATTTTCTTTGTGGTTGTTCGTTATATTTGTTTTTTTGTCAAATGAGGTTGCCAGTGTTATGTGTCTTTTTTTTGTATTTTATTTAAATAATAACATACTGGACGGTTTCCATAGTGACGCTAGCACACACTCGGTTTTTAACTGAAAGCTGATAGGGCAAATTTGCTGTCATGCGACATCTTTCTCAGATTTGTGAAAGGTAAGAAACAATCTGTATTGTTTTATTTAGTTTGGATCATTTTGGTTTTTTTTACATTTTAATGTTTAAAATGTAATCCGTGGATTGTATTGTTTCTTGTTACAGAGGGGTCACTGCCGTTTTAATAATACTTTAACTGACACAAATTTTGGTGGCTTATTTCAAGAGAAATAAAGAACCCCTCTTTATTTTGAAGCATAGCGTTTCTTTTTACCCTGGCTTCACATTATATATATATATATATATATATATATATATTATATATATATATAACTCCATAACTACATCATGGAGAAGGCCAAAACGGATGACGTACTCAGTGAATGTCTCAGGCAGTGGCGAGATGAGGAGGTGCTGGAGGAGAGCCCATCATGGGAGAACAAGCCCCTACACGGCATGTACCACCGGAGCATAACAGAAGTGGCTGATCTCAAGAAGTCCTACCAATGGCTAGAAAGGGCTGGCCTACAGGACAGCACAGAGGCACTCATCATGGCTGCACAGGAACAGGCACTGAGCACCAGAGCGATAGAGGCCCAGATATACCACACCAGACAAGACCCAAGGTGTCGGTTGTGCAAAGAGGCACCTGAGACGATCCAACACATAACTGCAGGGTGCAAGATGCTGGCAGGGAAGGCCTACATGGAACGCCATAACCAAGTGGCTGGCATAGTGTACAGAAACATCTGTGGAGAGTATGGGCTGGAAACCCCAAGGTCTAAGTGGGAAACTCCTCCAAAGGTGGTGGAAAATCAATCAATCAATCAATCAATCAACGTTTATTTATAGAGCGCCTTTCCTACACAAGGCAACGCAAAGCGCCTCACAACCCATATAACATCATGCATAAATCATCAAACATTAGAATTTGAGCGTGCGAAGATCCTGTGGGACTTCCAGATACAGACCGACCGAATGGTAATGGCAAACCAACCTGACATCGTGGTGGTAGACAAAGGGCAGAGGACAGCCGTGGTGGTGGACGTGGCAATTCCAAGCGATGGTAACATCCGGAAAAAAGAACATGAAAAGCTTGAGAAATACCAAGGTCTCAGAGAGGAGCTGGAGAGGGCCTGGAGGGTAAAGGTGACAGTAGTGCCCGTGGTGATCGGTGCACTCGGGGCAGTGACCCCGAAGCTAGATGAGTGGTTACAGCGGATCCCCGGAACAACCTCGGACATCTCGGTCCAGAAATGTGCAGTGCTAGGAACAGCAAAGATACTGCGCAGAACCCTCAAGCTCCCTGGCCTCTGGTAGAGGACCCGAGCTTAGAGAGGGATAACCGCCCGCGGAGGGCCAAAGGTGAGTGGACAATTTATAGCAGTCTCCTCCTTCTCAGCAGCAGTATCATCCTTCTCTGCAGCAGTATCATCCTTCTCTGCAGCAGTCTCATCCTTCTCTGCAGCAGTCTCATCCTTCTCAGCAGCAGTATCATCATTCAAAGCAGCAGTTGAAACTTTCAGCAGCAGTTTCAGCAGCAGTTTCAGCAGCAGTCTCAGCAGCAGTTTCAGCAGCAGTCTCAGCAGCAGTCTCAGCAGCAGTCTCAGCAGCAGTATCAGCAGCAGTCTCAGCAGCAGTCTCAGCAGCAGTCTCAGCAGCAGTCTCAGCAGCAGTCTCACCTGTCATGGTGTTCCCGCCCTTGTACGGCAGGTTGGCCACCGCCTCCAGGAGTGAGACTTTGTTCGGGTGAGAGTTCAGGTGCCACTCTGTCTTTGGGTCTCCGCTATACTGAGCCAGACCTGAGCGAGACAGAGACCTTAGAAAGAGACCAGAGAGAGAGACCTGAGAGAGACCTTAGAAAGAGACAAGAGAGAGGGACCTGAGAGAGAGAGCTGAGACAGATATTGAGAGCGAGACCTTAGAGAGAGACGGACCTCTCTCGGTCTCTGAGACAGAAACTGAGAAAGAGATCTGAGAGACAGAGACTGAGAGGGAGACTTGAGAGACTGAGAGAGACACCTGAGAGAGACAGAGACTGAGAGAGACACCTGAGAGAGACAGAGACTGAGTGATACCTGAGAGAAACCTTAGAGAGAAACCTGAGAGAGACCTGAGAGACTGAGCGAGAGACCTGAGAGATAGACAGATACTGTGATAGACACCTGAGAGAGGGACCTGAGAGAGACAGAGACTGAGTGAGAGACCAGAGAGAGACCTGAGAGAGACCTGAGCGAGAGACCTGAGTGAGAGACCTAAGAGAGACAGAGACTGAGAGAGAGACCAGAGAGAGAGATCTGAGAGAAAAAGACCTGGGAGAGAGAGAGAGATCTGAGCAAGACAATGGCTGAGAAAGAAACCGTAGAGAGACCAGAGAGAAAGACCTGAGAGGTAGACCTTAGAGAGAGACCCGAGAGAGAGACTTGACAGAGACCTAGAGAGGGACCTTAGAGAGAGACCAGAGAGGGAGAGAGAGCCAAGAGATAGATCACAGAGAGACTGAGAGAGAGACCTTAGATAGAGACGAGAGAGACGGACCTGAGAAAAGGTCCTTAGAAAGAGACCTGAGACAGTGCCTGAGAGAGAGAGACAGAGACACAAACAGAGAACACAGAAACAGACACAGATACAGACAGAGAGACAGACACAGAGACAAAGACAGAGAGAGAGACAGACACAGAGAGAGACAGACACGGAGACAGAGACACAAAGAGACAGACAAAGAGACAGAGACAGACACACAGAGACAGACACAGAGACTCAGACAGATGCAGAGACACACACAGAGACAGACACAGAGACTCAGACAGATGCAGAGACACACACAGAGACAGACACAGAGACAGAGACAGACACAGAGACTCAGACAGATGCAGAGACACACACAGAGACAGACAAAGAGACAGACACAGACACAGAGACTCAGACAGATGCAGAGACACACACAGAGACAGACACAGAGACACAGACAGACACTGAGCTCACCGATCTGCACGCGCTCAGGGCTGATGTCGAACACACTGACCATGCGAGCGATAAAGTTCCGGATGGTTTTGAAGTTGATGCGACCGATGCTCCACGACCCGTCCACCAGGAGGACCATGTCAGCCTTCGCTGTGGTCTTACACTGCGGCTCTGCGGAGAGGCTAGTCACTGTATACACTGTATTTATATAGAGAGACCTGTATTACTGCTGTATCACTCTGTGCCTCTATGGAAAGGCAAGCATTACACAGAGTGAGGAGAAAGCCGAGACCAACGCCAGGTCTGACCCAGGTCTCAACCAGGTCTGAACCAGGTCTGACCCAGGTCTCAACCAGGTCTAAACCAGGTCTGACCCAGGTCTGCCCCAGCTCTGACCCAGGTCTAACACAGCCCTAATCCAGTTCTGACCCAGGTATGACCCAGGTCTGACCAAGGTCTAACCCAGGTGTGACCCAGGTCTAAACCAAGTCTGGACTCTCCTCTGGATTCCTCAGTGAGTGCGTTTGACAAAAAGCAGCTCAGAAACATAAATCTGAAACAGCAGCCAATCGTAAATCAGCGACGTCACAGCGAGAGCCAGAAGCAGGAGATGCAGACAGTAGGAGGAGACGCAGCCAGCAGGAGGAGACGCAGCCAGCAGGAGGAGACGAAGCCAGCAGGAGGAGACGAAGCCAGCAGGAGGAGACGCAGCCAGCAGGAGGAGACGCAGCCAGCAGGAGGAGACGCAGCCAGCAGGAGGAGACGCGGACGCTGCTCCTCTTCACTCCTTGCTCCTCTTCCTTGCTCCTCTTCCTCGCTCCTCTTCCTTGCTCCTCTTCCTTGCTCCTCCTCTTCTCTCCTTTCTCCTTGTCTCTCCTCTTCTCTCCTTCTCTCCTCTTCTATCTTCTCTTCTTGCACCTCCTCTCTCCTCCATTCTCTTTGCTCTACCCCTCGCTTATCTTTCCTCTGTTCTCCTTTCTCCTCTCTTCTCCTCCTGGGGTTATGGATGCGGTAAATCTTGCTGTTTTTGGGAGACCTGGAACACACACAAGATGGCGTCACGCCCGAAGGCAGCGACGCACGGTCTGGGTCAAAACGGTGAAAAGAAAGAATTATGAGACGTTTGAAAGAGACAAAGAGGAGAGAGAGAGGGGGAGAGAAAAGATAGAAGAGAGAAGAGAGACTAGAGAGACCAGAGAAAGACCACAGAGAGATCACAGAAGGAGAGAGAGAGAGACCAGAAAGAGAGAGACCTGAGAGAGACCAGACAGAGAGAGACAGAGAGAGAGGACCAGAGAGAGAGGACCAGAGACGAGACGCAGAGAGAGAGAGACCAGAGAGAGCGAGAGAGAGGAGCCAGCCGATGAGGAGAGACGAGACAGCAGACGAGGAGAGAGATGCAGAGACCGAAAAGAGACGAGAGACAGAAGAGAGAGGAGACGAGAGCAGCTGCGAAGAGAGCAGAGAGAGGCGCCCAACGGCCGGACTTCTAGAGCTGCAGAGACGGTGTGCAATGACGACCAACGAGCGCAGGAGGACAGTCGCAGACTAAATTTATGGTTGGGGAGTGAGATGAGAGAGAGTGGCAGGTCGGCCGTGAGAGCTTGAGACGTGAGAGGTGAGGGAGAGTGTGGAAGAGGAGAGGAGTCTGAAGCGCAGGCAGAGAGGTTACGAAGATGGAGAGACAGGAGAGAGGGCGAGAGGAGAGAGAGGGAGAGAGAGAGCGAGAGGAGGAGAGAGGACAGAGAGAGGAGAGAGGAGAGAGGAGAGAGGGAGGAGAGGCAGAGAGGCTGAGAGAGGCGAGAGAGCGAGAGAGGCGAGAGAGAGGAGAGAGAGAGCCGAGAGAGAGGAGAGAGAGGGAGAGAGAGGAGGAGAGAGGAGAGAGAGGCGAGAGCGAGAGGAGCTAGAGAGGAAGAGAGAGAGGAGAGGCGAGAGAGGCTTGAGAGAGGAGAGAGAGGCGAGAGAGGCGAGAGAGGCGAGAGAGGGCATGAGTAGGTGCGAGAGAGGAGAGAGAGACGAGAGAGGAGGAGAGAGGCGAGAGAGGGAGAGAGGAGGAGAGAGGAGAGAGAGGCGAGAGAGGCGGAGAGAGAGGAGAGAGGAGAGAGAGGCGAGAGAGGCGATGAGAGTCGAGAGAGGCTGAGAGAGGCGAGGAGGAGAGAGGGTGAGAGGAGAGGGGATGCTGAGAGAGGGTCAATGACGTGAGAGGGGGAGAGGAGAGAGAAGCCGAGAGGGGCGTTAGAGGCGAGAGAGGAGAGAGAGCGTGAGAGGAGAGAGAGGCGAGAGAGGAGGAGAGAGGGAGGAGAGGGAGAGGGAGAGAGGAGGAGAGAGGGAGAGAGGGAGAGAGGGAGAGAGGAGAGAGGGAGAGAGGAGAGAGGGGAGAGAGGGGAGAGGAGAGAGAGGAGAGGAGGGAGAGAGGAGAGGGAGAGAGGAGAGGAGAGGGAGAGAGGAGAGGGGGAGAGAGGAGAGAGAGGAGAGAGGGAGAGAGGGAGAGGAGGAGAGAGGAGGGAGAGAGAGGGGAGAGAGGAGAGAGAGGGGAGAGAGGAGAGAGGAGAGAGGAGGAGAGGGAGCGAGAGGAGAGAGGAGGAGAGAGGAGGGGAGAGAGGAGGAGAGAGGGAGAGGGAGAGGGAGGAGAGAGGGAGAGGAGAGAGAGGAGAGAGGAGAGGGAGAGAGGAGAGAGAGGAGAGAGGAGGGGAGAGGGAGAGAGAGGAGGAGAGGAGGGAGAGAGGAGGAGAGGAGGAGAGAGGGAGAGAGGGGGAGAGGGAGAGGGAGGAGAGAGGCGGAGAGAGGAGAGAGAGGCAGCGAGAGGGGAGAGAGGCGAGGAGAGGAGAGGAGAGGCTGAGAGGAGGAGAGAGGCAGAGAGGGAGAGAGAGGCGAGAGAGGCGAGAGAGGCGAGAGAGGATGAGAGAGGCGAGGAGAGAGGCTGAGAGAGAGGTGGGCTGAGAGAGGCTGAGGAGGAGGAGAGAGGCTGAGAGAGGCGAGAGGGGGTGAGAGGGAGGAGAGGGGGTGAGAGGGGTGAGAGGGGAGAGAGGAGAGAGAAGCGAGAGGGGCGAGAGAGAGAGGCGAGAGAGGGGAGAGAGGCAAGAGGGGTGAGAGAGGACTGAGTAGAGAGGAGAGAGGGGAGAGAGAGGCGTGAGAGAGGCGAGAGAGGCGAGAGAGGCGAGAGGGGCGAGTGAGGGGAGAGAGGGTAAGGGAGAGAGGGGAGAGAGGGTGAGAGGGGAGAGAGGGGAGAGAGGGGAGAGAGGGGTGAGAGGGGTGAGAGGGGTGAGAGGGGAGAGAGGGGTGAGAGGGGTGAGAGGGGAGAGAGGGGTGAGAGGGGAGAGAGGGGTGAGAGGGGAGAGGGGAGAGAGGGGAGAGAGGGGAGAGAGGGGAGAGAGGGGAGAGAGAGGGGGGAAAGGAGAGGGAGGGGAGAGAGAGGAGAGGGGAGAGAGCAACTCAAGAGAGTCTCTCTGTCTGAGACAAGAGAGAGAGACTCGAGAGAGACCAGAGACAGACCAGAGAGAGAGACCAGAGAGAGAGACCAGAGACAGACCAGAGAGAGACCAGAGAGAGACCAGAGAGAGACCAGAGACCAGAGACAGACCAGAGAGAGACCAGAGACCAGAGACCAGAGAGAGACTTGAGAGTGCCTCCCCCCTGACTCACCCATCCCCCCTGCTGGTCGATCCAGTCCTGTATGTGCTCGTCCAGGTAGACTGTCATCCAGCCCACGATGCGCTGCACCAGGTGGCTCATGTCTTTGTCCACACACTCCACACAGAGCGCGCCCCCGAAGGCGAACAGTCCGACCACGCGGCCCCAGTTCACGCCGTCGCGGAACACTTCGTCCATGACGCTGGCGAAGCTGGTGTACGCGGTGGACGGCGTGAGGTGCAGCTGCCGGTGGAGGTCGCTGAACGCACGAGAGAAACGCAGCTCGAACTCCACCGCAGAGTCCCGGAGAGCCTCCTTCACCCGGGAGGAGGGGGCGGGGCCAGGGCCGACGGAGGGGGCGGGGCCAGGGACAGAGGAGGGGCTGTCACTCACACCGTTAGAGTGACAGTCCGCAGAGGCTGCATCAGTCCTGTTCTCAGTGCTGTTAGTCCTTCTGTCCTCCTCCTCACCCCTCTCCCCCTCCTCACCCCCTCCCCCCTCCTCCCCCAGCCTCACAAATCCCAGCTCCTCCCCCTCGGCCCCACCCCGCTGACAGAGCTTGTAGCGGACGTAGAACTCGACCAGATCTCTGTTCATCGTGACGTCTGCGATGACATCAGCGACTCAGCGAATCTGTAACCACGGCAACAGTTCACATCAGTCAGTCATCTGTCAATCATCTGTCAATCATCTGTCAGTCATCTGTCAATCATCTGTCGCACTGACACGACGTGTGTGTGCGTGTATGTTTTTGCTTCTTAGAACACAATGTTCTATGGGTCTTGAAAAATCAGTGAATGAGTTAAACAACTGTCAGATTCAGTCTCAGACACAGATGTAGATAGATACAGGTGTATACAGATGTAGATACAGGTGTATACAGATGTAGATACAGGGGCATAAGATGTATACAGATGTAGATACAGGGGCATAAGATGTATACAGATGTAGATACAGGAGTATACAGATGTATACAGATGTAGATACAGGTGTATACAGATGTAGATACAGGGTCATAAGATGTATACAGATGTAGATACAGGAGTATACAGATGTATACAGTAGTAGATACAGGGGCATAAGATGTATACAGTTGTAGATACAGATGTATACAGTTGTAGATACAGGAGTATACAGATGTATACAGTAGTAGATACAGGGGTATACAGATGTATACAGTTGTAGATACAGGAGTATACAGATGTATACAGTTGTAGATACAGGAGTATACAGATGTATACAGATGTAGATACAGGAGTATACAGATGTATACAGATGTAGATACAGGAGTATACAGATGTATACAGTTGTAGATACAGGGGTATACAGATGTATACAGTTGTAGATACAGGAGTATACAGATGTAGATACAGGAGTATACAGATGTATACAGTTGTAGATACAGATGTATACAGTAGTAGATACAGGAGTATACAGTAGTAGATACAGGAGTATACAGATGTATACAGTAGTAGATACAGGAGTATACAGATGTATACAGTAGTAGATACAGGAGTATACAGATGTATACAGTTGTAGATACAGGAGTATACAGATGTATACAGTTGTAGATACAGGGGTATACAGATGTATACAGTTGTAGATACAGATGTATACAGTTGTAGATACAGGAGTATACAGATGTATACAGTTGTAGATACAGATGTATACAGTTGTAGATACAGGAGTATACAGATGTATACAGTTGTAGATACAGGAGTATACAGATGTATACAGTTGTAGATACAGGAGTATACAGATGTATACAGTTGTAGATACAGGAGTATACAGATGTATACAGATGTAGATACAGGAGTATACAGATGTATACAGTTGTAGATACAGGGGTATACAGATGTATACAGTTGTAGATACAGGAGTATACAGATGTAGATACAGGAGTATACAGATGTATACAGTTGTAGATACAGATGTATACAGTAGTAGATACAGGAGTATACAGATGTATACAGAAGTAGATACAGGAGTATACAGATGTATACAGTAGTAGATACAGGGGTATACAGATGTATACAGTTGTAGATACAGGAGTATACAGATGTATACAGTTGTAGATACAGGAGTATACAGATGTATACAGTTGTAGATACAGATGTATACAGTTGTAGATACAGGAGTATACAGATGTATACAGATGTAGATACAGGAGTATACAGATGTATACAGTAGTAGATACAGGAGTATACAGATGTATACAGTAGTAGATACAGGAGTATACAGATGTATACAGTAGTAGATACAGGAGTATACAGATGTATACAGTAGTAGATACAGGAGTATACAGATGTATACAGTTGTAGATACAGGAGTATACAGATGTATACAGTAGTAGATACAGGAGTATACAGATGTATACAGTTGTAGATACAGGAGTATACAGATGTAGATACAGGAGTATACAGATGTATACAGTAGTAGATACAGGAGTATACAGATGTATACAGTAGTAGATACAGGAGTATACAGATGTATACAGTTGTAGATACAGGAGTATACAGATGTATACAGTAGTAGATACAGGAGTATACAGATGTATACAGTTGTAGATACAGGAGTATACAGATGTATACAGATGTAGATACAGGAGTATACAGATGTATACAGTTGTAGATACAGGAGTATACAGATGTATACAGTAGTAGATACAGGAGTATACAGATGTAGATACAGGTGCATACAGCTGTAAACACAGGACGCGGAACATGACCTTTAGCCGCAGATCAGCGCTGATCCTGGGTCAGATTCTGTCGCAGTTGTGGTTGTGTTAGCAGTTAGCATAGTTAGCACGGTTAGCATACTGTCCCCGTCGCGTCACCTCTTGTGTCTAACCACACACTGTACGTCAACAGTCTCGGTTTAAACCGTGACCCCCGTGTTACCTGCGGGTTCCGTGCTCCTCTGAGGCCCACGGCTCATCTCTGCTCCCGGTGTGGTCCACGACCCAGAGGAACGAGGCCCCGCTAACGAGCTAACGAGCTAACGAGCTAACGAGCTAACGCGGATAGACGCGGATAAACAGACACTACAGGCCACAGGCCACAGGCGGCTGAGACGCGTCAGATCCGCCCCCGCTGTGGAGAGAATCATGTGAGAATGTCTGAACGGGAAAAATACGTGTCATATATATTAATATTAATGTTATTTCTAGTATTTCTCCATTGTGAGGTCAATAAAGTTGATCTGATCTTATATCATCATTTCCAACGTGTCTCAGTGACGCACATGTGTCATCTGTGATCTCCGTTTTTGTGTTAGAAAAAATAAATAAATAACCTAAACCCACATTCATCCTGTTTACTGCTTAATTCAGTATTACATCTGCTGCACCATTATAAGATAAGATATACTTTATTAATCTCACACAGGAGAAATTCCATGTCACATTTGGCATGGATAGAAACACTCAAGATTGTGCTAAAAAAATCCATCATTCGTCTCCGGTTTCTCTCTGATCTCCCCGTGGTGGGGATGTGTGACCCAAGCCCCGGTGATCCAAGATGGCGCCCTATTCAAATGAATGGCTTGTGCTCAGTAGTTCATGGGACTTCATGGAGACCGGGAGATTAGCAGAACTCGCCCATATTTGGGCATCGTCTGGTCCTCCCGGTTCTGTGCAGTGGATTATCTCCCATGATGCTTTGCTCCAAACGTGCGTGTGTGTCTCTCATGCACGTGCACAGAGGGGCTCGGCCGCGCTCTGACCAATCAGAGCTGATCATCAGAGCAGCAGCAGGGCGGAGTCAGAGCGGGAAGGAAACGAGCAGAGTTTGTGGCAGTAAAGTGTGGATTTAAAGAAAACCGAAGGATTTAAGAAGAAAAACAGTTCAGAACGACAAGGGACATTAAAATCCCCACAGAAAGATCGGAATCTTTATGAAAGCTGTAGGTTCTCTGTCAGGTTCTCTGTCAGCTGAGGTCGACATGTTTTAATTTACATTGAGTTCTATGGGACTTTTTTCTGGGTAGCCCTCGTGAATTTAATCTGCAGTACCACAGCGCCCCCTGTGGCCATAGGTGGGACAGCTGTAAGCTAGTAATACCCTATCCAGTTATTATAGATCTATGTGTGTGACGTGAATACAGGGATCAAGAGTTCCGAGCTTCCGGCTCGACCGCACGGCATTGTGGGTAGTATTCTCAAAAAAGGTGGGCATAAACCTAGATCCATGGCATAAACTCACGCTCTCCTGTTATATTACCTGTTGCGAGCGTGATCTGTCTCTTGTTTCCAGTCCATCGATTGTTTTAATATCTACAAAAATCACCAATTTCAGAATTGGTGATTTTTTTAGAAGGTAAAGATTTGTTCATGTAACAAAAAAGCAATGCATTTATTTTTGTGTGTAAACTGACTATAGAGCTACATGTAGCTTATGCTACTTACGAGGATCGAATGCTTACACGCTTTTTTTCATTCAAAACTCCAGGACTCACCATTGACGAACATACCACTAACTAACTTTTACTTTCCATCCATCCATTCATGGTCAAACACACACTTCCGTCAGTGCTGAGGATATCGAGCTAACGTGCTAATTATATACATATAATATTCGTTGTTATAAAAGATCCATGATACAATCTCACTCTGGTCTTTCTCTGGTCGTCCACAGCGCCCTCTCTTGGTAAAACTCAGTGAACACATTGTTGCAGAATCCTTTATTTCACACAGACATTTCCATAATTGATTTTCCACAGTTGATTATTTTACAGAATCTTTACAAACGACTGCAGTCACTTATTTATATATTTATATTTCCCAAGAAGCAAAAAGGAAAAGAGACAAAGGACAGACTCTGGAATGATCTGAAATATAATAACAATAATAATATTAAAGCACTTTATAAATACTGAGGAGCAGTTTGTGGATCTTGGCCACAGGGGGCGTGTCCAACACTAGGGGGCGTGTCCACCAGGGGGCGTGTCCAACAGCTGATCTATAAGTGTTAAAGCTGGGGTCTGTAACTTTCAGAGTACAATAGAACTCTGTATTAAGCTAATGTCTCTAGCTCTAAAACAGTTGCTTCTGTCACTAGTTTGTGATGACACCCTCACTCAGCCAATCAGCTCTCAGCCCAAAGAGGCAGATAGTGACTCACAGGGCTCTTACACAAAAGGAGAAGACGGCACGATGTCTGATTTGTACACAACGTTTTTCTTAGAATCTTTTTCAATTGGACAAACTACATGTGTTATTGATGAGGCTAAAGTTACAGACCCGAGCTTTAAACATGTGTTATTGATGAGGCTAAAGTTACAGACCCCAGCTTTAAACCCACTCTTCATGTGGGGACAGCTCCCTCTGGTGGTGACACATAAATGCACTTATAACGTTAACATCTGATCATGTGACCCCACTGGACAGTCATGTGACCCTCAGCTCCGCGGCGCCCCCGTGAGGCGAGCTGATGTGGAACACAGATCCGATCCGTAAGAAGAACCTGCGCAGGACTGCTCTGAGCTCAGGGATCAGGTCAAACTGCATCATCTCACACAGACGAGGGTAGAAGCAGCAGGAGAGGGCCTGGAACTGAGACCAGAGACTAATGAGACCAGAGGGAGACCAGAGAGAGAGACCAGAGAGAGAGACCAGAGAGAGAGACCAGAGAGAGAGACCAGAGAGAGAGACCAGAGAGAGAGACCAGGGGGAGAGACCAGAGAGAGAGACCAGAGAGAGAGACCAGAGAGAGAGACCAGAGAGAGAGACCAGAGAGGGATACCAGAGAGAGAGACCAGAGAGGGACCAGAGAGAGACCAGAGGGAGACCAGAGGGAGACCCAAGGGAGACCAGAGAGAGACCCAAGGGAGACCAGAGAGAGACCAGAGAGAGACCAGGAGAGAGACCAGGAGAGAGACCAGAGAGAGAGAGACCAGGAGAGAGACCAGGAGAGAGACCAGAGAGAGAGAGACCAGGAGAGAGACCAGAGATAGACCAGAGAGAGAGAGACCAGGAGAGAGACCAGGAGAGAGACCAGAGAGAGAGAGACCAGGAGAGAGACCAGAGAGAGAGAGACCAGGAGAGAGACCAGAGATAGACCAGAGAGAGACCAGGAGAGAGACCAGAGAGAGAGACCAGAGGGAGACCAGAGAGAGACCAGGAGAGAGACCAGAGAGAGAGAGACCAGGAGAGAGACCAGAGGGATAGACCAGAGAGAGAGACCAGAGGGAGACCAGAGGGAGACCCAAGGGAGACCAGAGAGAGACCCAAGGGAGACCAGAGAGAGACCAGAGAGAGACCAGAGAGAGACCAGAGAGCAGTAGTACCTTGTCATCAGGCAGTCGCAGGGTCCGGGTCAGCAGCAGCATCAGAAGGGAGTTCCAGGACTCTCTGTGGGACTCAGAGGTCAGACTGATGAAGTACTCCAGCGCCTCAGTACACACTCTGAAACACACAACACACTCTGAAACACACAACACACTCTGAAACACACAACACACTCTGAAACACAAAACACACTCTGAAACACAACACACACTCTGAAACACAACACACACTCTGAAACACAACGCACTTTCTCAAAACTGCTCCACAACCCCCGGGCCTCCAACCCGCCTAGCGAGCCTTTATGCTGAGGCGTGGTCAGTGAGAACCCTCTCTGGTCTCCCTCTCTGGTCTCCCTCTCTGGTCTCCCTCTCTGGTCTCCCTCTCTGGTCTCCCTCTCTGGTCTCCCTCTCTGGTCTCCCTCTCTGGTCTCCCTCTCTGGTCTCCCTCTCTGGTCTCTCTCTCTGGTCTCTCTCTCTGGTCTCCCTCTCTGGTCTCCCTCTCTGGTCTCCCTCTCTGGTCTCCCTCTCTGGTCTCCCTCTCTGGTCTCCCTCTCTGGTCTCCCTCTCTGGTCTCCCTCTCTGGTCTCCCTCTCTGGTCTCCCTCTCTGGTCTCCCTCTCTGGTCTCCCTCTCTGGTCTCCCTCTCTGGTCTCCCTCTCTGGTCTCCCTCTCTGGTCTCCCTCTCTGGTCTCCCTCTCTGGTCTCTGGTGTGTGTGACTCACACTAATAGTCTTCTCTGTGTCTCTGCTCCACATGGTTCCAGTCTGGGGTCAGAGTTCATCTTAAACAGGATCCGGAGGCAACAGGTCAAACTGCTGCTCTCCTGCTTCAGGAGGTTAGGCTTCGACTTCCCTTTGAAACCTACACACAGAGAGAGCGACACACAGATACAGAGAGAGACACACACATACACACAGAGACACAGACAGTCTCACACAGATACAGAGAGAGAGAGAGACACACACATACACACAGAGACACAGACAGTCTCACACAGATACACACACAGACAGTTTATTTGGTTAGAACAGAAGTCTCAAACATGCGGCCATTGTAAAAGGTACTGTGTTTATTGTGGGGCCTCCTAGTGGACGTCACACTGTAAGTGCGGCGGCTCTGTAAATATGTTATAAACTATTTTAAAGAGTTTATCAGTAAAACTATGTACCATGAACACAGAACCATCGAGCCTTAGACTCCACCTCCTGGTTAGGACCAGAGAATGTAGGAAACCATGGTCTAATTTTAGTATGTTTTTAGTGGTAGCAGAAACTGGAGCACCTGGAGGAAACGTAAGGTGACACGGGAAGAACAAGCAAACAGCACATCACCTGCTCTCCAGAGCGCAGTGCGCTGCTCGTTGTTAGAGTTAAATTCTTTGGCAAATCTGTGAGACTCCAGCAGACAGTCTATGAGCTGGAACAGGTGAGAGGGAGAGAGACGAAGGTACATGCCCTGGTCACAGGGGGCGCTGTGCTCCTCCACGACATCCCTCTGAAACACACAAGGACCATGTGAGAGACCAGAGAGAGACCAGAGAGAGAGACCAGACACCAGAGAGAGACCAGAGAGAGAGACCAGACACCAGAGAGAGACCAGAGAGAGAGACCAGAGAGAGAGACCAGAGAGAGAGACCAGAGAGAGAGACCAGAGAGAGACCAGAGAGAGAGACCAGAGAGAGAGACCAGAGAGAGAGACCAGAGAGAGACCAGAGAGAGAGACCAGAGAGGGATGCGAGTATAGAGCTAACCTGAGCTGCCGTCATGGTGTCTGCGTCCTCCTTGTTGCTGGTGCTGGGATAGAACACGATGTTGTCGATGGTCTGAATGAGCTCCAGTTGAACCACACACTTAATGAGGAGTCCAGAGAAGAGGCGCGAGTCTGACGAGCCTGGAGGAGGAAGCCACATTTATTTATATATCACAATTCTAAGAGTCACAGAGAACTGAGTTCAGACCCATATTCTCACTCATCCACAGATATTCATCTGCTGAAACCTGTCTCCACATAGAGTCCCCTAGAGTGTGTGTGTGTCAGAGCATGTCTCACTCTGTGTGTGTGTGTGTCAGAGCATGTCTCACTCTGTGTGTATGTGTGTCAGAGCATGTCTCACTCTGTGTGTGTGTGTGTCAGAGCATATCTCACTCTGTGTGTGTGTGTGTGTGTGTGGGTTAGGGTTAGCATATCTCACTGTGTGTGTGCGTGTGTGTGTGTGTGAGTTAGGGTTAGCATATCTCACTGTGTGTGTGCGTGTGTATGTCTGTGTGTGTGTGTCAGAGCATGTCTCACGTGTGTTGGACCTCCCCTTCCATGTGTCGTCACTAGACATCTGGCTGTGTCCTCTCTCTGACGGAGCGCGGTCGTAGCTGCCCTGGGACTGAGCGTCAAAGTCAGACTCCTGCAGAGGAGAGCATTGTTTACATCTTTATTTTAAATCATATATAATAACTTATTGTTCTTGGTTTTGAATCTTTTAGACCTTTTTAGAGTTTAAACTTTATAGTCACATGTTTTTGTACCACTAAGTCTTATAGTATTTACTGTATTGCAGTAAGTAAGTCATTTTTATTTATATACCGCCTTTCACAGACCAGTGTGACAAAGCACAATTTTAATTTTTGGGCAGTTGTCCTCTCACTCCACGAAGTACCCGGAGGAAACCTACGCAGACACGAGGAGAACATGCAAACTCCACTCAGAAAGGACCTGATCCGAGAATGCTATTTTTCTGATCTCCACAACGATGTGACTAATCACATTACTTTTGGTATTTCTAACCTTTAGTAGTATTTGCAGTATTCTCATTACTTCATCTTTTTAGTGTTGTGTGGTACGTAATTTTTGTGTATTGCATGCAGTCTATGCATTTCTAGTTATAATATAAAAAAATATATACATATAGATAAATATACATAAGAACTCTTACATAAATCTTTCCATCTGATGAGTCGTCCTCTGGTCCCACTGGTCGCCACGACAACAACCTGACAACAAAGCAGCCAATCATAAGAAGGCTCTTTAGGACATCTCTCACTTGTGGGGACCTAACACTCGTGTGTGTTCATGTGTCCTTAAATTCTTTAATCACGTTGCAAAAAAGGCTTAAACATGTGTCACATGTGGGGACCTCACACAAGTGTGTATATCTTCGTGTGTCACACAGATGTGGGGACCTCACAATAGCGTGTGTCACAGTGTTCCCTTGTTACCATGGCGGCGCATGAACATGCTGTGGCATGTGTTACACCCATGTGGGGACCTCACACAAAGTGTATGTGTTCATGTATCACACACATGTGGGGACCTCACACTAGTGTCTATGTGTTAGTGTGTTGCACACATATGGGGACCTCTAGTGTGTAACTCACGCGTGTGGACTGGTGCTCTGGAAGATCTCCTTCATACAGGCGCAGGTTGCATCCCAAACTTCAGGACTGAACTTCTCTCCGTTCAGAATCACCAGGTTTTCCAGGCAGTTTGTCCCCGACCGAGCCAACTGCTCGTTATCTACACACACACACACACACACACACACAGTGAGTTTACACCCGGAAGACCAAACCATATACACCACAGCCCACCAGGGCGTGCACCACACTGAGCAGAGACCTGGATCTACATACACCCCAGCCCACAAGGGAAGATGCACCCTTGATGAGTCAAGGTCTTTCTGGTACTAGTCCTGGTCCAGGTCTGGGTTGTGGTCTGGGCCAGGGAGTGGTCTGGGTCAGGTCTGAGTCCTGATCCAGGTCTGAGTTCTCATCCAGGTCTGAACCCTGGTGTGCGCCTGGGTCTCGTACCTTGCCGGACGCACCACTGCAGTTGGGTGAAGATGTCTTGCAGGAGAATAGGACTCAGAGCTTCATAGAAATGAGTGAAGATGTCACAGATGGCGTAGAGGGCGTGGTTACAGGTGGTGGTCATCCACTCGGTCTTCTGCACAACACACGTCATATGGGTCAAATGCATTGTCTGCTCATGGGTCAAATACCCTCACCTGAGTCTGTGGGTCAAATACCCTCACCTCAGTCAGTGAGCCAAATGCCCTGACCTCAGTCTGGGTCAAATGCTCTGAACTCAGTCTGTGGGTCAAATGCCCTCACCTCAGTCTGTGGGTCAAATGCCCTCACCTGAGTCTGGGTCAAATGCCCTCACCTCAGTCTGCTGCTCTGGGAGCTTCATGTTGTCAAAGATCCTGAAGACGATCCTGAACAGGTCGTGCCACCAGTGCGTCTCAAACGAGGTCCCGTAACTCTTCATGATCTCAAACATCACAGTGAGCCCCCTACAGGACACACAACGCATTACACTGACACACACAGGAATAGAAGTCTTACCTTGTGTGTAGTTGTGGTACCTTGTGTGTAGTTGTGGTACCTTGTACCTTGTGTATAGTTGTGGTACCTTGTTTGTAGTTGTGATACATTGTGTGTAGTTGTGGTACCTTGTGTGAAGTTGTGGTATTGTGTAGTTGCGGTATTGTGTGTAGTTGTGTTATCTTGTGTGTAGTTGTGGTACCTTGTGTGTAGTTGTGGTACCTCGTGTGTAGTTGTGGTACCTTGTGTGTAGTTGTGGTACCTTGTTTGTAGTTGTGATACATTGTGTGTAGTTGTGGTACCTTGTGTGAAGTTGTGGTATTGTGTGTAGTTGCGGTATTGTAATCTTTTATTTATATACCGCCTTTTCACTGCAGATCTGAGTCTCAAAGCGGTTTACAATTGTTAATTTTTTGGGCATTTGTCTCTCACTCCACACAGAGATGGGAGCGGGGTCGCCAGTACAGGAGGCGCATGCTAGAACTATTGGACATATTTTTTTTTTTTTTTTGTGTGTAGTTGTGTTACCTTGTGTGTAGTTGTGGTACCTCGTGTGTAGTTGTGGTACCTCGTGTGTAGTTGTGGTACCTCGTGTGTAGTTGTGGTACCTCGTGTGTAGTTGTGGTACCTCGTGTGTAGTTGTGGTACCTCGTGTGTAGTTGTGGTACCTTGTGTGTAGTTGTGGTACCTTGTGTGGTACCTTATGTGTAGTTGTGGTACCTTGTACCTTGTGTGTAGTTGTGCATACTTTGTGTGTAGTTGTGGTACTGTATACAATTGTGGTATCTTGTGTGTAGTTGTGATACCTTGTGTGTAGTTGTGGTACTGTATGCAGTTGTGGTACCTTGTGTGTAGTTTTGATACATTGTGTGTAGTTGTGGTACCTTGTGTGAAGTTGTGGTATTGTGTGCAGTTGTGGTATTGTGTGTAGTTGTGGTACCTTGTGTGTGGTTGTGGTACCTTGTGTGTAGTTGTGGTACCTTGTGTGTAGTTGTGGTACCTTGTGTGTAGTTGTGGTACCTTGTGTGGTACCTTGTGTGTAGTTGTGATACCTTGTGTGGTACCTTGTGTGTAGTTGTGGTACCTTGTGCATACCTTGTGTGTAGTGGTGGTACCTTGTGTGTAGTTGTGGTACCTTGTGTGTACCTCGTGTATAGTTGTGGTACGTTGTGTGTAGTTGTGGTACCTCGTGTGTAGTTGTGGTACCTTGTGTGTAGTTGTGGTACCTTGTGTGTAGTTGTGGTACCTTGTTTGTAGTTGTGATACATTGTGTGTAGTTGTGGTACCTTGTGTGAAGTTGTGGTATTGTGTGTAGTTGCGGTATTGTGTGTAGTTGCGGTATTGTGTGTAGTTGTGGTACCTTGTGTGTAGTTGTGGTACCTCGTGTGTAGTTGTGGTACCTCGTGTGTAGTTGTGGTACCTCGTGTGTAGTTGTGGTACCTCGTGTGTAGTTGTGGTACCTCGTGTGTAGTTGTGGTACCTCGTGTGTAGTTGTGGTACCTCGTGTGTAGTTGTGGTACCTTGTGTGGTACCTTATGTGTAGTTGTGGTACCTTGTACCTTGTGTGTAGTTGTGCATACTTTGTGTGTAGTTGTGGTACTGTATACAATTGTGGTATCTTGTGTGTAGTTGTGATACCTTGTGTGTAGTTGTGGTACTGTATGCAGTTGTGGTACCTTGTGTGTAGTTGTGATACATTGTGTGTAGTTGTGGTACCTTGTGTGAAGTTGTGGTATTGTGTGTAGTTGTGGTACCTTGTGTGTAGTTGTGGTACCTTGTTTGTAGTTGTGATACATTGTGTGTAGTTGTGGTACCTTGTGTGAAGTTGTGGTATTGTGTGTAGTTGCGGTATTGTGTGTAGTTGCGGTATTGTGTGTAGTTGTGGTACCTTGTGTGTAGTTGTGGTACCTTGTGTGTAGTTGTGGTACCTCGTGTGTAGTTGTGGTACCTCGTGTGTAGTTGTGGTACCTCGTGTGTAGTTGTGGTACCTTGTGTGTAGTTGTGGTACCTTGTGTGGTACCTTATGTGTAGTTGTGGTACCTTGTACCTTGTGTGTAGTTGTGATACCTTGTGTGTAGTTGTGGTACTGTATGCAGTTGTGGTACCTTGTGTGTAGTTGTGATACATTGTGTGTAGTTGTGGTACCTTGTGTGAAGTTGTGGTATTGTGTGTAGTTGTGTTACCTTGTGTGTAGTTGTGGTACCTTGTGTGTAGTTGTGGTACCTTGTGTGTGGTTGTGGTACCTTGTGTGTAGTTGTGGTACCTTGTGTGGTACCTTGTGTGTAGTTGTGATACCTTGTGTGGTACCTTGTGTGTAGTGGTGGTACCTTGTGTGTAGTTGTGGTACCTTGTGTGTACCTCGTGTATAGTTGTGGTACGTTGTGTGTAGTTGTGGTACCTTGTGTGTAGTTATGGTACGTGTAGTTGTGGTGCCTCGTGTGTAGTTATGGTACGTGTAGTTGTGGTGCCTCGTGTGTAGTTGTGGTACCTTGTGTGTAGTTGTGGTACCTTGTGTGTAGTTGTGGTACCTTGTGCGTACGTCCAGCTGGCACCGGTTGATGATGCACGACAGCTCGAACAGAATGGGGAACCAGCCTCGGACCCAGACCCGGTCGCCAGGGGCAACGTTCATGTCATCACTGGTGTACTCTCTCAGGGCCTGGGGAAAGACCAGAGACCAGGACTGAGCCAGGACTGAGACCAGGACTGAGGCCAGAGACCAGGACTGAGGCCAGGGACCAGGACTGAGACCAGGACTGAGGCCAGAGACCAGGACTGAGCCAGGACTGAGGCCAGAGACCAGGACTGAGCCAGGACTGAGGCCAGAGACCAGGACTGAGCCATGACTGAGGCCAGAGACCAGGACTGAGCCAGGCCAGAGACCAGGACTGAGCCAGGCCAGAGACCAGGACTGAGCCAGGACTGAACCAGGACTGAGCCAGGACTGAGCCAGGACTGAACCAGGACTGAGTCAGGACTGAGCCAGGACTGAGTCAGGACTGAGCCAGGACTGAGCCAGGATTGAGATGGGGACTGAGGCCAGAGACCAGGACTGAGCCTGATGGCCTTCATGCTGGTCTGGTCTCTGTGGTCTCTGGTACCTGTGGTCTCTGTGGTGTCTAGTACCTGTGGTCTCTGTGGTCTATGGTACCTGTGGTCTATGGTACCTGTGGTCTCTGGTGTACATAGGTGGCACACTGCCTGATGAGCCTGATGGCCTCCATGCTGGTACCTGTGGTCTATGGTACCTGTGGTCTCTGGTACCTGTGGTCTCTGGTACCTGTGGTCTCTGGTACCTGTGGTCTCTGGTACCTGTGGTCTCTGGTGCACATAGGTGGCACACTGCCTGATGAGCCTGATGGCCTCCATGCTGGTACCTGTGGTCTCTGGTACCTGTGGTCTCTGGTGCACATTAGGTGGCACACTGCCTGATGAGCCTGATGGCCTCCATGCTGGTACCTGTGGTCTCTGGTACCTGTGGTCTCTGGTGCACATAGGTGGCACACTGCCTGATGAGCCTGATGGCCTCCATGCTGGTACCTGTGGTCTATGGTACCTGTGGTCTATGGTACCTGTGGTCCCTGGTGCACATAGGTGGCACACTGCCTGATGAGCCTGATGGCCTCCATGCTGGTACCTGTGGTCTCTGTGGTGTCTGGTACCTGTGGTCTCTGCGGTCTCTGGTACCTGTGGTCTATGGTACCTGTGGTCTCTGGTGCACATAGGTGGCACACTGCCTGATGAGCCTGATGGCCTCCATGCTGGTACCTGTGGTCTCTGGTACCTGTGGTCTCTGTCGTGTCTGGTACCTGTGGTCTCTGCGGTCTCTGGTACCTGTGGTCTATGGTACCTGTGGTCTCTGGTACCTGTGGTCTCTGGTGCACATAGGTGGCACACTGCCTGATGAGCCTGATGGCCTCCATGCTGGCACCTGTGGTCTCTGGTACCTGTGGTCTCTGGTACCTGTGGTCTATGGTACCTGTGGTCTCTGGTACCTGTGGTCTCTGGTACCTGTGGTCTCTGGTACCTGTGGTCTCTGTCGTGTCTGGTACCTGTGGTCTCTGCGGTCTCTGGTACCTGTGGTCTCTGGTACCTGTGGTCTCTGGTGCACATAGGTGGCACACTGCCTGATGAGCCTGATGGCCTCCATGCTGGCACCTGTGGTCTCTGGTACCTGTGGTCTCTGGTACCTGTGGTCTATGGTACCTGTGGTCTATGGTACCTGTGGTCTATGGTACCTGTGGTCTATGGTACCTGTGGTCTATGGTACCTGTGGTCTCTGGTACCTGTGGTCTCTGGTGCACATAGGTGGCACACTGCCTGATGAGCCTGATGGCCTCCATGCTGGTGTCAGGAAACGCCGCGTTGCAAACGAACTCCGACAAACACTTTATGGCGTCAGTGAACGAGTCGATGGCAGCGGGAAAGATCTGCGGGAACGTGTTCACTGCAACCAGAAAGCACACCAGGAAGCACACCAGGAATACACACCAGGAAGCACACCCGGAATACACACCAGGAAGCACACCAGGAAGACACACACCAGGGATACACACCAGGAAGCACAACAGGAATACACACCAGAAAGACATACCAGGAATACACACCAGGAAGACACACACCAGAAAGCACACCAGGAATACACACCAGGAACACATATACCAGGAATAAACACCAGGAAGACACACACCAGGAATAAACACCACAAAGACACATACCAGGAGGACACACACCAGGAAGACATACCAACAACGCATACCAGAAACACAAACACTAGCTTTAAACCATGGAAGACAACCTACTCTGGCCAGCTCCCCCTGGTCTCATGTGTGTATATATTAAGCTAAGCGGGGCAGGGCCTGATTAATGCTGTGATGGGAGACACACAGGTGCCACAGAAGGGCTGCTGCGCGTGTAAAGTGCAAAACTGTGGTTGTGTCCTTTGGCAAGACACTTCACCACATTAGAATAAGTCTGGTGTGTGTGAGCGGTTGGTGGTGCTCCATGGAAGATGGCACAGACTGGTTGCCTCAGTTCTGTCAGTGTGCCCCAGGGCAGCTGTGACTACAGTAGTAGTTTCTCCCCATTATGTTTAGAACAATGTGTCTTTGCGTGTCCTGTAAAGCCCTATATGAAACCGATGCATTGTTATTATTGTGTCCATGGGACTCACAGATGACCTGCCCCGTGCTCTCAAAGGCCAGCTCCACGATGCCCTGGTCGTGGTCTCCTGCCGCCTGGTGAAACACTGAGAAGATGTTCTTCCAGCCCGAGCGGATGTTTGCGGCCTGAGAGTTCACCATCTGAGCCACACAGCGGATCACCATGTCCCTGATGGTGGGAGACCTGCGGGACGACCAGGGGGATCAGACTGAGGATCAGACCGATCTTACAAAAGAGACTCAGGGTGAGACACAAACCTGTTCTTCTTCATGATGTGTTCGAACGGTCGCAGGAAGTCCTTCTGGAAGCGGAAGTTGGCCAGTTCCCCTTTCTCCAAGAACTTCATGGAGAGCTGCCTCAGGGAATCCACAGCAAAGATGGCCACGTCCTCGTTAGGGTTACAGCCCACCTGAGGGGAGACCAGAGAGAGAGGGTCAGGACTGAGGGGAGACCAGAGAGAGAGGGTCAGGACTGAGGAGAGACCAGAGGGAGAGGGTCAGGACTGAGGGGAGACCAGAGGGACAGGATCGGGACTGAGGAGAGACCAGAGGGACAGGGTCAGGACTGAGGAGAGACCAGAGGGACAGGATCGGGACTGAGGAGAGACCAGAGGGACAGGATCGGGACTGAGGAGAGACCAGCGGGACAGGGTCAGGACTGAGGAGAGACCAGCGGGACAGGGTCAGGACTGAGGAGAGACCAGCGGGACAGGGTCAGGACTGAGGAGAGACCAGTGGGACAGGGTCAGGACTGAGGAGAGACCAGAGGGACAGGGTCAGGACAGACGAGAGACCAGCGGGACAGGGTCAGGACTGAGGAGAGACCAGCGGGACAGGGTCAGGACTGAGGAGAGACCAGTGGGACAGGGTCAGGACTGAGGAGAGACCAGCGGGACAGGGTCAGGACTGAGGAGAGACCAGCGGGACAGGGTCAGGACTGAGGAGAGACCAGAGGGACAGGGTCAGGACTGAGGAGAGACCAGAGGGACAGGGTCAGGACTGAGGAGAGACCAGAGGGACAGGGTCAGGACTGAGGAGAGACCAGTGGGACAGGGTCAGGACTGAGGAGAGACCAGCGGGACAGGGTCAGGACTGAGGAGAGACCAGAGGGACAGGGTCAGGACTGAGGAGAGACCAGCGGGACAGGGTCAGGACTGAGGAGAGACCAGAGGGACAGGATCGGGACTGAGGAGAGACCAGAGGGACAGGATTGGGACTGAGGAGAGACCAGCGGGACAGGGTCAGGACTGAGGAGAGACCAGTGGGACAGGGTCAGGACTGAGGAGAGACCAGATGGACAGGGTCAGGACAGACAGACGAGAGACCAGCGGGACAGGGTCAGGACTGAGGAGAGACCAGCGGGACAGGGTCAGGACTGAGGAGAGACCAGCGGGACAGGGTCAGGACTGAGGAGAGACCAGCGGGACAGGGTCAGGACTGAGGAGAGACCAGCGGGACAGGGTCAGGACTGAGGAGAGACCAGAGCGACAGGGTCAGGACTGAGGAGAGACCAGCGGGACAGGGTCAGGACTGAGGAGAGACCAGCGGGACAGGGTCAGGACTGAGGAGAGACCAGAGGGACAGGGTCAGGACAGACGAGAGACCAGCGGGACAGGGTCAGGACTGAGGAGAGACCAGAGGGACAGGGTCAGGACTGAGGAGAGACCAGAGGGACAGGGTCAGGACTGAGGAGAGACCAGTGGGACAGGGTCAGGACTGAGGAGAGACCAGCGGGACAGGGTCAGGACTGAGGAGAGACCAGAGGGACAGGGTCAGGACTGAGGAGAGACCAGCGGGACAGGGTCAGGACTGAGGAGAGACCAGAGGGACAGGATCGGGACTGAGGAGAGACCAGAGGGACAGGATCGGGACTGAGGAGAGACCAGCGGACCAGTGGGACAGGGTCAGGACTGAGGAGAGACCAGAGGGACAGGGTCAGGACAGACGAGAGACCAGCGGGACAGGGTCAGGACTGAGGAGAGACCAGCGGGACAGGGTCAGGACTGAGGAGAGACCAGCGGGACAGGGTCAGGACTGAGGAGAGACCAGCGGGACAGGGTCAGGACTGAGGAGAGACCAGCGGGACAGGGTCAGGACTGAGGAGAGACCAGAGCGACAGGGTCAGGACTGAGGAGAGACCAGCGGGACAGGGTCAGGACTGAGGAGAGACCAGCGGGACAGGGTCAGGACTGAGGAGAGACCAGAGGGACAGGGTCAGGACAGACGAGAGACCAGCGGGACAGGGTCAGGACTGAGGAGAGACCAGCGGGACAGGGTCAGGACTGAGGAGAGACCAGCGGGACAGGGTCAGGACTGAGGAGAGACCAGAGGGACAGGGTCAGGACTGAGGAGAGACCAGCGGGACAGGGTCAGGACTGAGGAGAGACCAGAGGGACAGGATCGGGACTGAGGAGAGACCAGCGGGACAGGATCAGGACTGAGGAGAGACCAGAGGGACAGGGTCAGGACAGAGGAGAGACCAGCGGGACAGGGTCAGGACTGAGGAGAGACCAGAGGGACAGGGTCAGGACTGAGGAGAGACCAGCGGGACAAGGTCAGGACTGAGGAGAGACCAGCGGGACAGGGTCAGGACTGAGGAGAGACCAGAGGGACAGGGTCAGGACTGAGGAGAGACCAGAGGGACAGGGTCAGGACTGAGGAGAGACCAGAGGGACAGGGTCAGGACTGAGGAGAGACCAGCGGGACAGGGTCAGGACTGAGGAGAGACCAGAGGGACAGGGTCAGGACTGAGGAGAGACCAGCGGGACAGGGTCAGGACTGAGGAGAGACCAGCGGGACAGGGTCAGGACTGAGGAGAGACCAGAGGGACAGGGTCAGGACTGAGGAGAGACCAGCGGGACAGGGTCAGGACTGAGGAGAGACCAGCGGGACAGGGTCAGGACTGAGGAGAGACCAGCGGGACAGGGTCAGGACTGAGGAGAGACCAAAGGGACCGGGTCTGTGTTGAAGTGGACCACTGCAGCCAGGCGTGCGTGTGTGTCTGCATGTGTGTCTGTGTGTCTCTGAGTGTGTGTGTGTGTGTCTGTGTGTCTCTGAGTGTGTGTGTGTGTGTCTGTGTGCCTGAGTGTGTGTGTGTGTGTCTGTCTGAGTGCCTGTGTGTCTCTGAGTGTGTGTGTGTGTGTGTACCTTGTTGAAGTGGTCTCCTATGACCTGCCAGATCCTAGACCACTGAAGCCTGATGCGGTTCATGTTGTAGTAGGAGATCTCCACGATCTTCTGCAGAGAGAACATCCGCGGCTGATGGGAGGCGGCCAGCTCGTCCATGGAGACCACACACAGCCAGCGCACAAAGTCCACTGCAAAGTAACACAACTGTTACACACACACCACGGCTCGTCCATGTACACCACACACAACCAGCACACAAAGTCCACTGCAAAGTAACAGACACACACAGAGGACACAGAGGGACACACAGAGGACACACAGAGGGACACACAGAAGGACACACAGAGGACACACGCAGAGGACATAGAGGGACACACAGAGGACACAGAGGGACACACAGAGGACACACACAGAGGACACAGAGGGACACACAGAGGACACACACAGAGGACACACACAGAGGACACAGAGGGACACACACAGAAGACACACACAGAGGACACACACAGAGGACATAGAGGGACACACAGAGGACACAGAGAGACACACAGAAGACACACACAGAGGACATAGAGGGACACACACAGAGGGACACAGAGAGGACATAGAGGGACACACAGAGGACACAGAGGGACAGCCAGAGGAGACACACAGAGGACACACACAGAGGATACAGAGGGACACACATAGGACACAGAGGGACACACAGAGGACACACACAGAGGACACAGAGGGACACACACAGAAGACACACACAGAGGACACACACAGAGGACATAGAGGGACACACAGAGGACACAGAGGGACACACAGAGGACACACACAGAGGACATAGAGGGACACACAGAGGACACAGAGGGACACACAGAAGACACACACAGAGGACATAGAGGGACACACACAGAGGGACACACAGAGGACATAGAGGGACACACAGAGGACACAGAGGGACACACAGAGGACACAGAGGGACACACAGAGGACACAGAGGGACAGCCAGAGGAGACACACAGAGGACACACACAGAGGATACAGAGGGACACACAGAGGACACAGAGGGACACACAGAGGGACACACAGAGGACACACACAGAGGACACAGAGGGACACACACAGAGGACACAGAGGGACACACAGAGGACACACACAGAAGACACAGAGGGACAGCCAGAGGAGACACACAGAGGACACAGAGGGACAGCCAGAGGAGACACACAGAGGACATACCAATGGCGTTCCCGTCCAGTCGTGTTGATCCAGTGAAGATCCTACAAACACAGAACACAGGACTCACTATATCTATGTGTCTTCTTTTCTTTCTTTAGCGTTTGCTTTGCGTGCTTAGCCATAGAACAGCATCTTCTTCAGCAAGGTGTAGGGCCGGTAGTCCACCGGTAAAATGAGTCAGTGGACAGTCGTTCACAATGTGTGCCATAGTCTCTGGAGCACCACAGCTACATGTTGGGTCAGTGGCTTGACCCCAACGGACAAGGTTTGTCGCGCAGCCCTAATCACATAAACACTTCTTCCTCTGTTCACATAAACACTTCATCATACTTCTGCTGGAGATCAACAGCTGATAGAGCTGTGTCCATGTCAATCCTGTGGCGCCTTAACTAAACACACACACACACACACAGACTGACCGATCCACTGCGACCACGACGCTCTGTGAGCTGGTTTCTCCCACAGACTCCTGAAGGTGAACCATCTGCCGACGTTCTTGCGTGCCCACCAATGTACCTACGAGAGGAAAAAACATCTGCTGATCATCTACAACAAGAGATACACACATGATTCTAATTTCAAATGGCGACTCAAGTCTATGTACAAGAACTAGAGGCTTTTTACCAAGAAGAATGTGCAGTTTACCCACCAGAGAGAGACCAGAGAAAGAGACCAGATAAAGAAACCAGAGAGAGAGACCAGAGAAAGAGACCAGAGAGAGACCAGAGAGAGATCAGAGAGAGACCAGAGAGAGACCAGAGAGAGACCAGAGAGAGACCAGAGAGAGACCAGAGAGAGACCAGAGAAACAGACCAGAGAGAGAGCGAGACCAGAGAGAGATCAGAAAGAGACCAGAGAAAGAGACCAGCGAGAGAGACCAGAGAGAGACCAGAGATAAGCACCAAGGAGAGGCCAGAAAGAGACATCAGAGAGAGAGACCAGAAACAGACCAGAAAGAGATCGGAGAGGATGAGAACCTCCACACAAGACTACAAGCTGCACACAAACATGAGGACTGGGGGATGGAGACTTATGGGGACTGGAGGATGGAGACTTATGGGGACTGGAGGATGGAGACTTATGGGGACTGGAGGATGGAGACTTATGGGGACTGGAGGATGGGGACTTATGGGGACTGGAGGATGGGGACTTATGGGGACTGGAGGATGGGGACTTATGAGGACTGGGTGACGGAGACCAATGGGGACTGGGGGATGGAGACTAGTGAGGACTGGAGGATGGAGACTAGTGAGGACAGGGGGACGGAACATGGCTGGGTGTGAAGCTTTAGTCCGGTTCCACAGTGATGATACCGTACCCAGTCCCAGCGGCATGAAGTCCTCGGTGCCCAGTGGCAGGCCCCTGAGGCCCGGGTCTCTGCTGTGGACCGCCCCAGACAGGTACCGCGCCTTCACCCCGGTACCGATCAGCTGTGCCAGCTCCAGCTGACTGATGCACTTCAGGATCTGCAACAAGAGAGAGCTGTGAGAGAGAGACATACACACAGTCACACATACACACAGACACACACTCACCTCATGCCAGGAGTTGCCCAGGTAATTTCCGTCAGTATGAGCCACAGTGATCAGTGTTTTAATGGTGTCAATGTTCTTCTGCTTCATTTCCGTGATGCTGGAGCTGGCAGTGAGGAGGGTGAAGCGAGCCAGAGCCTGTATGTACGCATCTCGCTCCAGCTGAGACACACACACACACACACACATGGTCACAGCTCCTCCACAGAACACATCACCCCTGCACCACTCCACTAACCTGCATGGAGAAGATGCAGGAGATCCTCACAGCACAGCGGATACCCTCCAAACACAGAGACGCCACTTCGGGGTCGTCACAGTCCTGCAGGCCCACACTGAAGGCAGCCAGGAGGGGCGTCCAGGCCAGCTGTGGGACAGGGGACAGAGACATAGAGAGGAGACATGTGACGTAGGTCTAAGAGGAACAGCACTTGGCTGGTTTAACCCATTTATCAGATTGGTATCAGTTTGTGTCTGTGTGTTGCGTGTCTGTTATTGTGTGTTACCTTGACATGGTCTGACATGTTCCAGGTGAGTCTGTGTTATTGTGTTACCCTGAACATGGGTCTGACATCTTACAGGTGTGTTTGTCATTGTGTTACCTTGAACATGGGTCTGACATGTTCCAGGTGTGTAGCACTGAAGAATGGCGCCTGGGCGTGGCTCACTGCTTCCATCAGAGCCTTCGCCGTCTTTGCCATCTGCTCCATCTCGACATTATACAGAAGCCGCCTCTGCTTCTCACTGGCCACGTCTGCGGAGAGGCGAGCACAGAGACAGTACTGAGACACAGCACTGAGAAAGAGGTCTGAGAGAAAGAGGACTGAGACAGAGGACAGAGAGAGAGGACTGCGACAGAAAACAGAGACAGTGAAAGACATACACAGACACACACCCTCACTCTGCATGGACTTGGGGATGATAGAACACACACACACACACACACACACACACTAGAAGACACACACAGACACTCACTCTGCTTGGACTTGGAGGTGATGGAGCACACACAAACAGAAACACACACACACACACTCACTATGCTTGGACTTGGGGGTGATAGAGCTCTCCTTGCTCTGCTTCATGGAGATCTTCTTGCCTGCGATCTGGTCATAGATGGAGGACAGATACTCCTGCGGCAGGTCCTTACTGTCATTTATACCACGGTTCATCTTTATGTACTGCTCTTTACTCATCTTACTCTTCACCTGCACATATGAACACATGAACACATGAGGACCCGAACACATGAGGACCTGAACACATGAGGACCTGAACACATTAGGACCCGTGTGTCATATGTATGAGTTTGTCCACAAGGTCTTTGTGTCTCAGCTGCAGCAACAGTACCAATAGCAGCAGCAATAGTACCAGCAGTAGTACTATCAGCAGTAACAGCAGTATCAGTGTCAGCAATATTAGTAGCAGCAGCAGTACCAGCAGCAGCAGCAGCAGTACTAACACCAGTATCAGTATCAGGAATAGCAGTACCAGCAGCAGTGCCAGCAGCAGTAGCAGCAGCAGTAGCAGCATTACCTGTGGGCTGTGCAGATCCGTGGTCAGCATGATAATAGAGTAGGCCAGGACGTAGGCCGTGTCTGCGCTGGCGAACAGGGTCTGACTGGAGACAAGAACAAAGGGATTATTACACATATATTAAATGTATTTACTTTATGAATGTGATTGCTTGTCTGTGTGTCTCTGTCTCTGTGTCTTTGTCTGTGTTTGTCTGCGTCTCTGCCTCTGTGATTGTGTCTCTGTGTGTGTGTGTTTGTCTCTGTGTCTGTGTCTCTGTGCGTACTGTAGAACTGTATCTTTACGTCTTTGCAAACACCAGGCGCAACAGACCCCTGGGGAACCCCTACTGGACAATATATACAACATTACTCTCTCGATTTCTGATTGCCACATGAAAAGACCATTAGTATGTGTATAATAGTGGCAATTGGACCAGTAGCAGAATCAATAGCAGTACCAATATCAATATCAGTATCAGTAGCTGCAGTAGTAGTGGTAGTATCAGCAGAAGCAGTAGCAGCAGCAGTAGCAGCAGCAGCAGCAGCAGTAGCAGTCTCACCTCTGGTTACACTCCAGGTACCTGGCGGCAAACTTCTCCATGAGGCGGTCAATCTTCTGGGCCTCTCCAGGCAAACGGAACCCTTCCAGAAAGATCCTCAGAGCTGACACAAAGTCACGACCACAGAAGTCCAGCAGGTCCACATAACTGTACATGACCTCTCTGTTCAGACGGCTGTTCTCCCCCAAGAACTCCCCCACCTGGGTCTAAGGGAGAGAGAGGAGAGCGGTGAGAGAGGAGAGAGACGAGGGAGAGGAGAGAGGGGGAAGGGGAGAGAGAGGAGAGACATTAGAGGGTGGAGGTGAGAGAGGGGTGAGAGGAGAGAGAGGGGAGGGGAGAGAGAGGAGAGGTGTAGAGAGAGAGGAGAGACATTAGAGGGAGGAGGTAAGAGTGGGAAGAAACAATAGGGGAGGTGAGAGAGGGGTGAGAGGAGAGAGAGGGGAGGAGAGAGCGAGGTGAGAGGGGAGAGAGAGGAGAGAAGGGGTGTATAGTTCTCACCGTGTCCAGCCGCTCCTCTTGGTGCAGGAACTGTGCAATCTCCTGGACTGTGTTTCCCAGCATGCCCTGCTCCTGCAGATACTGGACCCCACGCTTTGGCTTCTTATTAAACCTATGGTCACAGATACATACATATATATGTATAGAAGGCAGCGTGAATGTGTAGTGTGTAGTGTTGTGTTGTGTGTGTAGTGTTGTGTGTATAGTTGTGGACTCACAGGTCAATGCCGTGCTCAATGATATCCTTCTGCTGCTTGATGACCTCATACGTCTCAGGGTCGTGGGCCTGAGTGGACGACACTGTGGAGTCCACTGACCCCACACTGTCTCTACGACCGGAGGACTTCAGCTCCAACACTTCAACCTCACATGGGTCCTGGCCTGGGGTAGGAGGGGGGAGGACGGGGGAGGACATGGGAGGAGGGCGAGGAGGGAGGAGGAGAGGGTAGGGCAGTTCAAATCCAGGCCCCTAACTGTTTAATAAGTACAGTCATGAGGTGAAGCGGACAAGCAATCTGACCAGAGGAGGAAGGTGTGTATATGTCTGTCTCTGTGTTTGTATTTATTTATTTAATTGTATGGAACCATGTGTATTCATGAACAGCAGTGGCTGTAAATACACCAGATTGTATTGTATGTTGCTAATTTACACTTGTCCCACAGTCTCTTGTAAATTTCTTATCTTATCAAACACACTCATTCAACTCATGTGTGTAAGATTAAGACATCCTTTATTCGTCCCACAGTGGGGAAATTTCAGTGTTGCATCACAAGTTATAGAAACAGTAGGAAAGAGGAGCACATGGCACAAGTTAAGTGAACAATAGCTATACTAATAGATCGGTTTGAGTCTGCGTGTGTGTGTGCGTGAGTGCAAGCGTGCGTGCATCTGTCTCACCCAGGTTGGTCTGCAGGTTGGGGTTCACGTACATGTCTTTGCTCCACTCCACTTTACATTTGAGGATAGAGACCAGACACTCCAGCCCCTTCTTCCTCAGACTCAGCTCCTGTGGATATGTGGACACACACTTTAACACACAGGGGTACACATAACTGTCTGAAGGCTGTCCTGCTCATTTAGGATCAATACTTTATTCTCAACATGTGAGGAAAAAAAGTGTATTCCTGACGTCACAACACCAGTTTACATACACACAGTAGATTTGGTAGAATTCACCTTTAAATCTAACTTCAATTAACATTTTGAGGAGCCTTCCATCATTTTCTGTCAGAAAATCCTACTGAAGAAAGAGGTTTCTTTGCTGTGAGTATGTGTGTGCGTGTGTGTGTTACCTGTAGTGGTGTGATGCCCAGCTCCTGACCACTCCTTCCTTGTGCGATCTTTGAAAGGTCATTCACCAAACGTTCGTAGACGTTTGAGGCGTTCAGATCACAGTCGTAGTTCACGTAAATGTCCACCACACACTGTGCATCTGGAAACAGGGGCTGTTTATTTAGACCAGGGTCAATGACACAGATATACACAGACTCAACTGATTTCACAGCCCTATGAGGACCAGTCTGACACAGCCCTGTGGGGACCAGTCTGACACACAACCCTGTAAGGACCAGTCTGACACACAGCCCTGTGAGGACCAGTCTGACACACAACCCTGTAAGGACCAGTCTGACACACAACCCTGTAAGGACCAGTCTGACACACAACCCTGTAAGGACCAGTCTGACACACAGCCCTGTGAGGACCAGTCTGACACACAGCCCTGTAAGGACCAGTCTTACACACAGCCCTGTGAGGACCTGATTTATGCATTTGAGATGCTACAAATTATGCAGATCCAGTTCTTTGTTTGAATCTTTTACTTACATAAAGATTTTAAATGATTCCTATATTTCGTACAAACTGAAGAAGTTGCAAGGGGGGTTGGATGCCCAGAAGTTCAGACACACCAGTTCAGAGTGGTTTTGACACACCAGATTAAAGTGTTACCTGCGCAGATGCGAGTAAGTGTCTGGATCACCATCCACTTGTGTTCAAAGGAGCTCGTTGACGTTTCCAAAATGGTCAAAAATATTTCCCGAAAAAACACCTGGAAACAGCAAGAAGTCAGAGGTGAAATAGGAGGTCAGAGGAGAAATAGTCCAGTCCAGTCCCTGTCCTCACCTCTATCTGCATTTTCAGGTGGACCTTGAAGTGACACAGCAGTGTGAGGAAGATGGCCAGACTCAGCTCGAAGACCTCGGGGACGGAGGACACTCCGTTCTTGGACAGAGCCACACACAAATATTGTTTGATGGCCGTTACAAACATCTCGTGAGTCCTGAAGACTGGACCTGCCGTCTGGAGGACCGAGAGAAGCAACTGGAGGGATACAATCTTAGAACGAAGCTCATGGGACCTACAGAGAGACAGACAAAGGATAGAGCATGAGAACACAGATAGGCCTGTCGCGATATTCAATAAATCAATTAATCACATGATAATTAAAATTAGCTCGATAATTTTCCTGGCCGCAATAAATTCCATTTGCATGCTTGTCTGTTTTCCCGTCTCTCTCCCTCTCTCTCGGGTCAGAGAGCCCCAAAGTAGCCACGGGAACATTAGTGGTCTAGCAAGCAGACTGAAATAACTCAAAAATACAAAATACAGCCAAAACAGGACCTAAACCAGGACTAAACCAGGACTTAACCAGGATTGACAATGGGGGACACAGTAGTTGTTCTCATTCAGGCTCTAGTAGTGACTAAACTAGCGCAGCTAGCGTTAGCGTGTTCGCCGATGCGGAAGTACCGTTTAATAATTAAATAAACTTATGACGCACCTCCGTGAACAAATACTGCTGTTATATAAAGTCTCTAGAAGGTCTCTGGACAAAGGGACGCTGCAGAGCTGCATTATTGGCAAGAACTTTACACAAAAAGCCGCTAGCATGATGCTAACGGAGTAAAGAGAGGGCCGACAGTAGCTCAGTTGGTAGAGCATTGGCCTTTGAGCCAGAGGGTCGTGGGTTCGAGCCCAACTTTCACCATCGACTACCACTGATGTCTGCTGTCGTTGTGTCCTTGGGCAAGACACTTAACATCTGGGAACACCAGGTGCCACAGTGGGGCGGCTACAGCTGTAAAGTGCCAAACTGCTGTTGTGTCCTTAGGCAAGACACTTCTCCCACATTGCCTAGAATGAGTCTGGTGTGTGTGTGAATGGTTGGTGGTGGTGGGAGGGGCCGATAGCACATACTGGTTGCCTCGCTTCTGTCAGTGTGCCCCAGGGCAGCTGTGGCTACAGTAGTAGTTTATCACCACAGTGTATGGAGTGAATGAATAATGACATGTGAAGCGTCTTTGCGTGTCCAAAAAAGCGCTGTATAAAACCGTTTTTTTTTTTTTTTTTTCACTCTGCCACTTCCGGCGGTGGTCTTTAAAAATAAAAAAAGTGTATTTCTCTTTGAAAAGGTGTACCTGCATCATTATCATTGTATTAGATGAAAATGATCTCAGAACGACAATATTATCGCTTATCGCAATCATTTCTGAGACAATTAATCATCCAGCAAAATTTGTAATCGTGACAGACCTATACACAGAGAGACAGCCAGAGGGCAGAGAGAGGACAGAGCATGAGGAAAGAGGACCATCATTTCTGAGACTCACTTTGGGTCCGGTGGCCCGTCCCCAAGGGGCTTCATGGACAGTTTACAAAGAGACCGGAAGACAAGGAAGGCATCCTTTTGCAGAATGTGGGAGAAGCGAGACGAGCCCTGAGTCTGGAGACAGTCAGAGTCCTGGAGGACAAGCGAAGCACGTTAGCATAGTATGTTAGCATGGCACATTAGCATGGCTTCACGTGTAGCACTAGTGGAGCACTACATGAAGTTGAGAACAGGACATTTTTTGCTCTCTATGTTCAGGTTAAACCAGTTCCCGGTGCAGTTCCCAGACTCACCAGCAGGTCGGCGGAGGACACAGATGAACGATCCTCAGTGAAGCCGTTCTGCTCCAGTCGGATCTGTGGAGGGCGAGCAGCTGAGGTCTGATCTGAGGCCGGTTCCTCTTCAAACACCGAGTCTGAGATCATAGAAGGAAACCAGCTGTTTATTAAAGCTGGGATCTGTAACTCTAGCCTAACAAATAACACATGCTTAGTGTAAGAAAGAGCCCTGTGAATCTGCCTCTTTGGGCTGAGAGCTGAGTGAGGGTCTAAAGACATCACAAATACATGATGTGAAACCTGTGATAAAAGCAACTGAGAGCCAGAACTAGGCCTGTCGCGATATTCAATAAATCAAACAATCGCATGATAATAAAAATTAACTCGATCATTTTTCTGGCTGCAATAAATGCCATTTGCATGCTTTTTTTTTTTTCTCCGTCTCGTTCTCGGGTCCTTAGAGTAACGATGAGTGAACCCTCATGTCAGTCACTTGTTAGTCACATGGTGTGTGGGGAGGTGGGACTGCTGGTGTAGCATACTACAGAGTGCAGCTGAAGAGCCGCGTGAGAAGTATACCGGTAGGCACTAGGCAGAGAGAAAGCTAGTTGCGAGTTCGAGACAAAGCGATGGAATTGGTTTCTAAGTCAAACGCGACAGCTGCAGTGTAGGAGCATTTCGGATTTAAACCGAATGCCCGTGGTGAATCACTGAACTTGTGTCGCATTTGTTGGAAAACAGAACAACAATATTATCGCTTATCGTGACAGGCCTAGCCAGAACTAGAGACATGGGTTTAATACTAACTTCAATTGGTCTGAAAGTTACAGATCCCAGCTTTAATGTCACAAACCCCAGTTAAGCGCTAGCCTGACTCACGCCAGATCCTTGTAGTTTGCTGAGCTTCACTCAAGGGTCTGGGATTTCTCAATAGGAGATGTATTTCAGAGGGCGGGGCCATGTAAAAAAAAAAAGAATTGGACAAACCACTTGCTACTTCAATCACTCACAGCAAAGAACACGATTTCTCGCTGCATAGTGTAGTTTGACAGCAATATTTGACAACTTAAACCAAACTTTACATCAACATTTTCCTCCTAAAACTAACATCACAACATGGAACTATCAACATCTTGCCTCAAATTGCATTAAAAGGGACCAAGCCCCGGTGATCCAAGATGGGGCCCTATTCAAATGAATGGCTTGTGCTCAGAAGTTCATGGGACTTCATGGAGACCGGGAGATTAGCTGAACTCGCCTATATTTGGGCATCGTCTGGTCCTCCCGGTTCTGCGCAGTAGACGAGCTCCCATGATGCTTTGCGCCAATTACACATGTATGGCTTTCATGCACGCACACAGAGGGGCTCGGCCATGCTCTGACCAATCAGAGCTGCTGATCAGAGCAGCGGTAGAGCGGATCCAGAGCGGGAAGGAAAGGAGCAGAGTTTGTGGCAGTAAAGTGTGGATTTAAAGAAAACTGAAGGATTTAAGAAGAAAAAAAGTTCAGGACGACAAGGGACACTAAAATCCCCACAAAATCCGATCTTTATGAAAGCTGTAGGTTCTCTGTCAGGTTCTCTGTCAGCTGAGGTCGAGCTGTTTTAGTTTACATTGAGTTTTATGGAACTTTTTTCTGGGTAGCCCACGTGAATTTAGTCTGCAGTACCACAGCGCCCCCTGTGGCCATGGGTGGGACAGCAATAAGCTAGAAGTACCCTATCCAGTTATTATTATAGATCCATGAAGGGGACGTACAATGTGCAGTTGCATTAAAAAGATGGCTGCACGAGATTTAGCACCTGCTACTTCCCACTTGTAGTCCTACCGTGAGAAGCAGGTTTGCATTACATACTGTAATAAACAGCAGAGTCAGCGGATTTTCAGAAGGTGGAACAAACCGATGTTGTTACACCGCCGATCCTGATTGGTTCAATATTTTTTGCTATCTTGAAGGAGTTTGCATTGCCCTCAATCCCAGACCCTTGTGGGGAGCTTGGCGAAACTGGTGGAGCATGGCGGAACTACAAGGGTCAGGCTAGAGTCAGGCTAGTGAAGTGCACAGTCCCTTCAGATAAATGCTGAACTAAACTGGTCGTTAGAACTCCATAGATCCACATATTCCCAGGCAGCTCCTGAAGCGTACCCGTGTTTGGGTCTTGCTCAGTTTTCTCCTCTGTCTCGGCGGGAGCTCCCTGCGGCCTGGGCTCTGTGTGGGTCTCAACAGGGGCAGACTCAGGCTCTGTGTGGGTCTCAGCAGGGGCAGACTCAGTTTCAGTGTGGGTGTCAGCTGGGGCAGAATCGGGCTCTGTGTGGGCCTCAGCAGGGGCAGATTCAGGAGCCTCTTCTTCCGTCAGGTCCACAGAGCTGGCGGCAGGAGAGGGCTCAGGGGTAGGGGTCCCAGGAGACCTCCTCTCCCTCTGGGCAGGGGAGGAGGGGGAGGAGGAGTGGGGGAGACGCAGACGCTCCTTCTCTTCTAGAGCCTGACAAAGAAATATATTATCACTTCTCTCACATGAGAATGAGACATTACTTTGATATATTAGGATGAGCTTATGTCTGTAGAGAACATCTTTAAGGGTCAGGAGGTCAGCAGTTCAGGTCTGCTCTTAATCACAAAACAGTATGAGACAGAGACCAGAGAAAGGTCCAGGTCCTCTCCAGTGATTCTGAGTGTGTGTCTATGAGTGGTCTGCCTGTGTGTGTATGTGTGTGTCACTCACAGCCTGCTGCTCCATCCTGGTGAAGATCACATGCGACATCTGAGTGAGTGTAGCTTTTGCGGTGGTCTGGTTGATCAGGTTGCGACTCGCCAGGTAAATGTTGTAACAGGTGCGGACAGTCAGCAGCACGGTCCCCTCATGGATCTCGATGTGAGGAGAGGTGACCGTGGTCAGCAGGGCCTGGACGAGACGGAAGGAGAGCTGTTATACTGACAGAACTGAGAGAGTAGGCAGAGGATCCTTCAGACCTTGATGATCTGCAGCTGCACCCCCTCGTCCGTCTGGGGACCAGTGAAGCAGTTACACACAGTCTCCACCAAGCGGTCGATGAGTCTCCTGCCGGGACACTCTGGGTCCGGAGTGTTCCCTGTGATGTGTCCATACGCTATCAACTTCTGTAAAGACATTACACAAAACCATAGGTAGCCGGGGAATGTAACTTTTAAACCATTGCAATGAACCATAGAATGTGTGTCCTCACAGTCCTTATGGACACACACACACACAGTCCTTATGGGGACATACACTATCCTTATGGGGACACATAATGTCCTTATGGGGACACACACACAGTCCTAATGGGGACACACACAGTGCTTATGGGGACACAAACTGTCCTTATGGGGACACAAACTGTCCTCATGGGGACACAAACTGTCCTCATGGGGACACACACCGTCCTTATGGGGACACACACTGCCCTTATGGGGACACACACACAGTCCTTATGGGAAGACACATCCTCCTCATGGGGACACTAACCTGCAAACAGTCCAGTGACGTGCTGACGATGCGTGGAGACTTTGATTGACAGGCCAACTCAAACGGAAGCACGTATTTATCTGCATCAATGTAGTTAGCTCTAGGGGGCACCACTGTCCCATCTCTGCACAGGAGAAAGAGGTAGATCTACAGTCACAGCAGTAGAGGGGTTGGATGTGTGGAGTTAGGTCTACAGTCACATCAGCAGAGGGGTAGGAGGTGTGGAGTTAGGTCTACAGTCAGAGCAGCAGAGGGGTTGGAGGTTTGGAGTTAGGTCTACAGTCACATCAGCAGAGGGGTAGGAGGTGTGGAGTTAGGTCTACAGTCACATCAGCAGAGGGGTAGGAGGTGTGGAGTTAGGTCTACAGTCACAGCAGCAGAGGGGTTGGGGGTACATCATATGACAGACTTACTTCTGCTTCTCGAGCTCCGCTTTGATCTCATCTGAAACACAGATAGGCCAGTGTTAGGAACCACAACATTAAAGCGTGACTTTAAAGCCAATGGGCTATATGCAAGAAGAGGGTTGATGTTATTTCTTGTAAATTTATAACGGTTCGTTTACTTCCGGTCTGTTCTAGCACTATGGCCTTGTGGTGAGTTGTAGTGAAATTGTTTAATAATTAGATGCCCAGCATCCTCAAAGTGTAATTCCTGTTTGAGCATTATTTAGGAGTTGATTGCCGTTATAACTAAAACTCTGTAGTGGTGCATTCATGGAGCCCATAGGACCCATGTCGCTAGTTCTGGCTCTAAAACAGTCACTTCTGTCTCTAGTATCACATCATGTATTTGTGATGTCACATCTTTAGATCAAAGAGAGGACCAGCCTCACTCAACCAATCAGGTTTGAGCCCAAAGAGGCAGATAGTGACTCACAGGACGTCCTTAGATAAAAGGAGAAGACGGCATGTCGTCTGATTTGCTACTTATTTTAACTTTTTTGTGTGACTTTTTCTGTAGAACAAACTACAAGTGTTATTTATGAGACTAAAGCTACAGACCCCAGCTTCAAATATGTGTTATTTATGAGACCAAAGTTACAGACCCCAGCTTCAAATATGTGTTATTTATGAGACCAAAGTTACAGACCCCAGCTTTGAACATGTGTTACTTATGAGACTTAAGTTACAGACCCTAGCTTTATTATTGCATGTTCTGATGTTGACACTAGGCAGAGGTGTGTGCATCCGGGTGGATCTGACACCTCTGTATTTTACAGTAAAATAACATTAAAAACACACAGAGACGGCGCTGGTGCGGACTGGACCCGTACACTGCTTTAATGTTGTCGCCTTTGCGTTTTTAATCCAAGTCTGTCACAGTTAGAACAGTTAGAACACATGTAAACAGTAGCTGACGTCAGCTGTAGTGCTATTGCTAATGCTAATGCTAACAGTGTGTAATGTTAAAGCGTCCGTGCTAACGCTAATGCTAATGCTACATCCATACCCAGGGCACTCTGACAGGCCGCCTTCAGGGCTCCATGCTGGCTCTTCTTCAGCTCTCTGTCGGACAGGATCTTCTCCAGGGCCCGGGAGAGGAACATGGTGCTGCCGCTGGAGCTGGTCTGGGCCTGAGGAGGTGGAGACAGCGGGGTGTTTGTCATGTGTCAGGCGGGGAACATGGTGAGGAGACCCGGGGACAGGACCGGGCCACAGACACTGGTGAGACCCAGGGTGAGGTGAGAGCGAGCCGGATACAGGACGAGGCCACTGCAGCCGCACACTGGGGAGAGCCGTGGGGAGTGAAGGCTCCAGTCAGAGCTCCGGAGCAGCCATGACACCCGGATACGTGACGGAAAGTACGTCAAAATACGGACACGTATTGTTGTTGTTGTTGTTATTGTTATTGTTGTTGTTATTATTATTACTATTATTATAATATTGTTAGTTATTATTATTCATATTATTATTGATCTTATTATCATAGCTATTGTTATAGTTATATTCTTATTAATGTTATCATGTTTGTTGTTTGAATATAAATTCCTAAATGCAACATGTTTCTTCTTCTTGTCATCTAAAAGCTTCTTTTCTAAACTTCCTTGCGTTTGTAGCAGTCCAAAGCTCCTTTTAAAAAAAGTTCAAATGAAAAAACTCGTTTCGCAGTTTGCAAAACCTCCACCAGGGGGCGCTCAGTCTACGTTAAACCAGAGTTGGACCTTGTGCTATACAAATAAACTTGCCTTATTAAACATTCAGCACTTTAAATTAGGTAAATATTCTTATAATCATGAAATTATGATTCATTACAGTGGAGAAAACCAGAGTGAAATAAAACCAGGACTCGATCTATCAAAGACAAACCTCAGGAGATTTGTCTTTGATAAGATCACATGTGAAATATTATCTATGTATTTTCACACTACTATCAAATGGGGGTGTTGCTCATCCTGATGTTTCTTATTCAATAATACATGAGAACAAGGTCTTTGCTTCAGTTTATTGTGCAGATCACAGTGTACACTTCATTTCAACAGTAAAAACAGAGAGTCCAGAGAGAGACCATATAAACTAGAGAGAGAGAGAACAGAGAGACCAGGGAAATGGAGAATTTTGAGACTGTTTTTGTTTCTCTCTCTGGTAGTATCTCGTACCTTCGGTTCAGTGAAATATAAAGGACAAACTTCAGTCTCAACGTCCGGTCTGCGTAGGGCCTTATGAACCACTAATCATTGACAGTGCTGCCGTGGTTACAGACCCAGTGTCAAAACCATAGACTGTATATAAACGCAATTTTAAAAAAGCAAAATAATTTAACATAAAAAAATATTAAGGTTATACATGTGGAATCAACATAATTTAGACCTGGTTTGCATTACTTCTCTTCCTGTTTATGTGAAACTTCTGCTTTTTATTCAAATCTAAACCAGGGTTAAACCAGGTCTTAACCAGGTCTAAAACAGGTCCATACCAGGTCTGAACTAGGTCTGAACTTGGGTCTAAACCAGAATCACAGATATGACAATATTATAAAACTGGTCCCTGAACGCGTCTGACCATGTCCTCAAATATATTAAAAATCACAGAATTCAGTTTCACATTTGACGCAGAAACATCTCGTCCGGAATTCTTCATACAAATATAATATTCAGTCATGTGCCGACAGTCAGTGTGACGCACGTTATATAAGAAAAGAGGTTAGAAATGATTATGAGGCGAGTGCAGTGGGAGGAGCTAAGCAACGGATCATACAGCCATATAAGGGCGTATAGAGCCTCTAGACCTGGTCACAGCAGAGGACACACTCTAGACCTGGTCATAACAGAGGACACACTCTAGACCTGGTCTTCAACACAGACCAGAAGTTATAGGTATACGGCCTCACATGGATGTGCTACTACTGTTACAATGGCTATGCTATCTAAAGTCCAATGTGTCTCCATGGTGACACCCCCTCACAACGTGATGATGGTCCCGTCCTCCTCTAAGCTCCGCCCTCTCTCCCCATTGGTCAAACTGCTCAGACTAACACTGAGGGAGGTGGCTTGTTCATACTGCAGAGCGCCCTCGCAAAGATGTGGCTCGTAACGCGGCGCCCTCTGCTCGATCACCACGTCGTCTTCTTCTTCGCTCTCGTCGCTCGCCGTGAAGTTCTGCACAATGTGGGCGGAGCCAACGCTCTCGTAACCGTGGAGACTGTCAGCAGAGGCCCCGCCCCTTACAACGTTGTTCCTCTGATTGGCCGGTTTGACAGTAATGATGAGGTTGTGGCTATTGGCGATCATCATGTCTGTTACCTAGGGAACAACAAAGAAACAAGTAAGTACGTTGTTTTTATTCATATAGCGCATTTTAAAGTCACACACAGCGCTTCACAATGTTAGTGTTCTGGTGTTCTGTGGAGAGGGTCTGTGCCAACGCATATGTTCTTCCTGTGGTTAAGTTGCAAACCAACAGCCGCTCATACGTCTGTTACTAAGGATACTGTCTCTGTAACTAAGGATACTGTCTCTGTTACTAAGGATACTGTCTCTGTTACTAAGGATACTGTCTCTGTCACTAAGGATAGTGTCTCTGTCACTAAGGATAGTGTCTCTGTCACTAAGGATACTGTCTCTGTTACAATGGATACTGTCTCTGTTACAATGGATACTGTCTCTGTTACTAAGGATACTGTCTCTGTTACAATGGATACTGTCTCTGTTACTAAGGATACTGTCTCTGTTACTAAGGATACTGTCTCTGTCACTAAGGATAGTGTCTCTGTTACTAAGGATAGCGTCTCTGTTACTAAGGATACTGTCTCTGTTACTATGGATACTGTCTCTGTTACTAAGGATACTGTCTCTGTTACTATGGATACTGTCTCTGTTACTAAGGATACTGTCTCTGTTACTAAGGATACTGTCTCTGTTACTAAGGACTGTCTCTGTTACTAAGAACTGTCTCTGTTACTAAGGATACTGTCTCTGTTACTAAGGAAACTGTCTCTGTTACTAAGGACACTGTCTCTGTAACTAAGGATACTGTCTCTGTTACTAAGGATACTGTCTCTGTTACTAATGATACTGTCTCTGTAACTAAGGATACTGTCTCTGTTACTAAGGAAACTGTCTTTGTTACTAAGGATACTGACTCTGTTACTAAGGACACTGACTCTGTTACTAAGGAAACTGTCTCTGTTACTAAGGATACTGACTCTGTTACTAAGGATACTGACTCTGTTACTAAGGACTGTCTCTGTTACTAAGGATACTGTCTCTGTTACTAAGGATACTGACTCTGTTACTAAGGATACTGACTCTGTTACTAAGGAAACTGTCTCTGTTACTAAGGAAACTGTCTCTGTTACTAAGGATACTGACTCTGTTACTAAGGATACTGACTCTGTTACTAAGGACACTGACTCTGTTACTAAGGACACTGTCTCTGTTACTAAGGAAACTGTCTCTGTTACTAAGGATTAGTTTAACTTCCTGTCAGTGAAATTCATGCTGTGCTTTGATGTGGACGTAGATCTAACACTACAACAATACTGTCCTCCAGTGCTAAATGTTTAACAAACAACACACAAAGCCTAAAAAAATAAACAGGAATTTTCAATAATGATTCTCTCCACCCATTCATTCCTATTGTACACGTGTTTAGTGGTAGGGGAAACCGGAACACCCGGAGGAAACCGAGGCAGACATGGGGAGAACATGCAAACTCCACTCAGAAAGATCCTGAGGATGAATTGAACCTTCTGGCTTTGACTGAGTATGAGGCTAATGTTAGAGCTGTTTAGAGCTGACATTAGAACTGTGTCTCAGACCTGGTCCAGGCTCTTCCCCTGCACCTCGATGCCGTTGACCTCCAGGACCTCGTCGTTGACTGCTAGGAGCCCTGTGCTCTGGGCGAGGCCCCCAGGGACCATCCTGGAGATGAAGATGGCAGGGACCTTCTCCAGGCCCTGAGGAGAGACCCTGACGCTGGAGCCGTCGCGGATGTAGAAGCCCAGGGGTCTGTCGCGCCCGTGTTTGTACAGTCTGACTCTGCGGTGCGTCGCTGGGACCAGGTCCACGTCGATGATGGACGACACGGGTCTGAAGTCCCGTGGGATACTGATGGCCACAGGCTGCCGCCGCCCAGGGTCCGGCCTCAGCACCCCCAGGACCGCCTTCTTCTTACGCAGGTTTGAGTCCGCGCCAAGCGTGGAGAAGTCTGCCTCCTCTGTGGAACAAACAGGTAATCATCCAGAGAGGAGGGAGGCAGGACAAAGGGCCTCTAGACTCTGCAGGCATGATAAGATCGGCGATGAAGACTATTCCTCTCACACCCACTGTAGCCAGATCAAGAGTCCTATCTAACATTCAAAACTACTCCCCATACGTACCTCCAAAGCCACCTAGGGCGTCCAACTCAAATTCTCCCACAAAATCCACCCGTCCCTCCTCTAACCCCATAAGTATTCCACCCCCCCCCCCCCCCCCCCCTCCTGCTCATTTAGCCCACCTCCCCCCTAACTCAGCACCAAGAAACCCTCCACCTCCACTCCCCCCTCGTCCACCACCCAACTCAGCCTGCCCCTCCCCTAACCCATCACCAAAAACCCATCCACCTTGCACAGGGTCTCTGCTTCGCAGCCACTGGCAGTCTAGTTAGAGGAGAGACCCGGCTGGGGCCCTGTCATGAAGCCACCTGTGCCATTCCCTTAGTGATAACACAAAGAATACATAACAGAAAAACATCTGAAGTTAATCAGTCTAATCAGGAAAATCTAATTCTTGTTCCGTGTAAGAATCAGCCGACCACAACCGCTGATACTGAAACTTTGAAACTTGCTACGCTTAATGTCAGATCTCTTTGTAACAAGTCTTTTTTAATCAATAATTTTATTTGTTCTTATAATCTAGATCTTATGTTCATGGCTGAAACATGGCTTGACCAAAATACAGAAAATGCAGTTTTAATAGAAGCATCACCACCAAATTTCAAATTTGAATCTGAAATACGGGAAAACAAAAAAGGAGGAGGCTTAGCTGCCATTTTTAGAGACCACTTTGTCTCCCATAGAATGTCTCTTGGGAAGTTTCCGTCTTTTGAATATGTGTCTTTTAAAATACAACAAAAACAATCTCCTCCAATACTCTTCATTGTCCTATACAGGCCACCGCAGTCATGTCACAGTTTTATTGATAATTTTACCGAGTTGCTTTCAGTTGTATGCACAGATTTTGATAGTTTAGTTATTACAGGTGATTTTAATATTCATGTGGATAATGTTGATGACAGAAATGCAAAAGAGCTGAGTTCTGTACTTGAATCCTTTGGTCTCACTCAGCACGTGAGTGGCCCCACCCACAGCAGAGGGCACACTCTAGACCTGTTAGTTACAAAGGGGGTGAACATTTCTAATGTAAACGTGGTCGATGTTGCGCTTTCGGATCATTTTTGTATATTTTTTGATATGTGTTTCACTAACAAACCACCAGTGGACTCTGCAACTGTACGAAGAAGACACATAAATGAAAATACGGGTGAACTATTTATGGGAATGATAAACTTTGAGAATGCATCGTATTCTACTGTAGATGAACTGTTTAACTCTGTCACCTCTAGTGTTTTGAAATTTCTGGACACCATCGCTCCTGTGAAGGTTAAAATAGTGAAAAATAAGCAGAAGGCGCCATGGGCTAAAGCAGACTCGGTCAGGGCACAAAAGAGAGAGTGCCGGAGGGCCGAGTGGAGTCCAACCTCCAGGTTGATTACGAGATCTTCAAAGATAAGTTGTGCGAGTTTAACCAGGTGCTACGTAGTACGAGAGAAAGGTATTTTTCTGAAATGATTGAAGGCTGCAGCAACAATCTGCGTGTTCTGTTTTCAACAGTTAATAGATTAACAAACCCCCCTGTTCAAATGCCATTAGAGCTAACTTCCAAACGTAAATGCAATGAGTTTGCAAATTTTTTCAATGACAAGGTTCAAGGCATCAAAAACGCCATTGTCTCCAATCCACAGATAACAATCCAACAGCCAGAAAGGCTCTTTGAGCTAACTCACTTTGCACCTGTAAATGATCAAACTGTCCAAGAGATAATCTCCAGTTTGAGCTCCTCCACATGCAGCCTGGATGTACTACCCACTAGATTTCTGAAGTCTGTTCTGAGCAGTCTGTTACCTTCACTCACACAGATAGTAAACATGTCCCTTAATTCTGGAATATTCCCAAAGGCCCTGAAAACTGCAGTCATCAGGCCCCTGCTAAAAAAGAGCAGCCTGGATGCTACGGTACTTAACAACTATCGTCCCATCTCAAATCTGCCATTTATGGGGAAAGTCCTTGAGAAAGTTGTCTACCTACAGCTTACTAGATTTCTTATAATCAACAACTCATTTGATATGTTTCAGTCCGGCTTTAGACCCCACCACAGCACTGAGACTGCTCTTGTTAAGGTTACAAACGATATCCGGCTGAACACTGACGCAGGCAAAGTCTCAATCTTAATCCTGTTAGATCTGAGTGCTGCCTTTGACACTGTCGACCATGAGATCCTCTTACAGAGATTAGAGGACTGGGTTGGAGTCGCTGGCACCGCCCTAAGTTGGTTTAGGTCTTACCTTGAAGACAGGAAGTACTTTGTGGAGATTGGAAACTGTGTCTCAGATCATATGGCCCTGACCTGTGGAGTCCCACAGGGGTCGATCCTGGGACCTCTTCTGTTCAATCTCTACATGCTGCCGTTAGGTCAGTTAATACGCAGAAACAAAGTGTCCTATCACAACTATGCAGACGACACTCAGATCTATGTCTCACTGACTGCAGGAGAACATGGACCAGTGGACTCACTCCTTCACTGTATCCAACAGATCAGTGAGTGGATGCAAAACAACTTCCTTCAGCTAAACGCAGACAAAACTGAAATGATTGTCTTTGGTCCCCAGAAACAAAGAGAGAAAGATCTGTCACCTCCAGTCTCTCTCCCTAAAACCTTCAAACAAGGTCAGAAATCTAGGGGTAATACTGGACTCAGACTTAAATTTTGATAGCCACATCAAATCAGTAACATCAGCAGCTTTTTACCATCTAAAAAACATTGCCAGGATCAAAAACATAGTGTCTAAAGCAGACCTGGAGATTCTTATCCATGCATTTGTCTCCAGTAGGTTAGACTACTGCAATGGCCTGCTCACAGGTCTGTCCAAACAGGCTGTAAAACAGCTGCAGTACATTCAAAATGCAGCAGCTCGAGTCCTGACTAGAACCAGGAAGTACGACCACATTAGTCCAGTCCTCAGGTCCCTGCACTGGCTTCCTGTGGCTCAGAGAATAGACTTTAAAACAGCTCTGCTTGTGTACAAGTCTCTCCATGGCCTCGCACCAAACTATATTAGTGACATGTTAGTCCCATATGAACCAGCCCGGACTCTGAGGAGCACAGGGACTGGACTCCTGTTAGTGCCCAGAGTCAGAACTAAACATGGGGAGGCTGCTTTTCAGATTCATGCTGCTAAAATCTGGAACAATCTTCCTGAAGATGTGAGACAGGCCTCCTCTCTGACAATGTTTAAAACCAGGTTAAAGACAGTTCTGTTTAGCTGTGCATACAACTGAGGGATTTTATATTTTTATCTTTCGTTTTAATGGTCTGTGATTATTTATGATTTTAATGCTATCTTGTTCAGCACTTTGAGTTGCCTTGTGTATGAATTGTGCTATACAAATAAACTTGCCTTGCCTAGACTGTAAGGGTGAAAGTTACAAGACACAAAAGTTGACCTCAGGCTATGCTATGCTAACGCTAACGGTTTGTTTCTGGAGTCGACAGATTCTCGCATCAGACAAGTGTGATGTCACAAAGCTGTTGTAGTAATAAGAATAATATAAGATAAGAGTTCCTTTATTCGTCCCACAGTGGGGAAATTTTGTTGTTGCAGCGCACATACAGGACAGTAGTAAGAGCACACAGGGAGCACACACAATATACAAAATTAGTAGTAGCTATGTTTCTCAGCTAACATAACTAGCTGTAGATGCTGGAAATGCTGCAGTTATATACTGTACAGTTAAATAGTGCAGGATAATAAGTAGATAAAGTGACATTGTTCTGTGACATTCTGAAGTTGCAGTATTGCACATGATTTTCGACATTATGAACTACTACACAATCCTCCTGTGTGTCCTGAAGCTCTTCTGTGGCTCGTGCACACGCCTGGACCTCGTGCACGTTTGTCCTCAGTTTAAAATAGTTCATTTTAAATGTTCTGATCAAAACCAGGTGAGTTATTTTTAGACTAAACATTTCTGAAAATAAACCAAAGAGAGTTGTCTCCACAGACTCAGGAGTCTATCTCTGGTCTCTATCTCTGGTCTCACTCTGGTCTCTCTCTGGTCTAACTCTGGTCTCTCTCTGGTCTCTACCTCTGGTCTAACTCTGGTCTCCCTCTCTGGTCTCTATCTCTGGTCTCTATCTCTGGTCTCTATCTCTGGTCTCTATCTCTGGTCTCTATCTCTGGTCTCTATCTCTGGTCTCTATCCCTGGTCTCACTCTGGTCTCTACCTCTGGTCTCACTCTGGTCTCACTCTGGTCTCACTCTGGTCTCTATTTCTGGTCTCTATCTCTGGTCTCTATCTCTGGTCTCTATCTCTGGTCTCACTCTGGTCTCACTCTGGTCCCTATCTCTGGTCTCTATCTCTGGTCTCACTCTGGTCTCTACCTCTGGTCCCTATCTCTGGTCTCTATCTCTGGTCTCACTCTGGTCTCTACCTCTGGTCTCACTCTGGTCTCTCTCTGGTCTCTACCTCTGGTCTCACTCTGGTCTCTCTCTGGTCTCTACCTCTGGTCTCACTCTGGTCTCACTCTGGTCTCACTCTGGTCTCTCTCTGGTCTCTACCTCTGGTCTCACTCTGGTCTCTACCTCTGGTCTCACTCTGGTCTCACTCTGGTCTCTACCTCTGGTCTCACTCTGGTCTCTACCTCTGGTCTCACTCTGGTCTCTACCTCTGGTCTCACTCTGGTCTCTACCTCTGGTCTCACTCTGGTCTCTACCTCTGGTCTCACTCTGGTCTCACTCTGGTCTCTACCTCTGGTCTCTCTCTGGTCTCTACCTCTGGTCTCACTCTGGTCTCTACCTCTGGTCTCACTCTGGTCTCTACCTCTGGTCTCACTCTGGTCTCTACCTCTGGTCTCTCTCTGGTCTCTCTCTGGACTTGAACCCTCTTCATGTGAGCTTCAGAATGACTCACTCTGAGGTGTGTCTTTGTAACTGTATTTACACTGGTCTTCACCTGGCAGTGACGCTGCAGGGACACACACAAACATACACACACACACACACACACACACAGGCACAATTACACACACACGCACACACAGACACACACACACACGCACAGGCACACGCACACGCACACACAGACACACACCTTGGGAATCACTGCTTTAATGAAACTGAACTTTGAGTCTGGGCAAAAGTGAAGCAGGAAATTCTTCAGTCGTTAATGAACAACTCGTTATGACTTTATAAAAAAACACACACTCTGATGCGCACACACACACACACACACACACACACACACACACACACACACACACAAACCTCAAACTGAAACAGAGACTTTAAGTTTAGACCGAGTTAATCTGGGGTAAAGTGGATTAAGGTCTTCATCCTCAGACTGGGACTCAACGGTCTCTGGTTTTGTCTGGTCTGGTCCCTAGTCTGGTCCATGGTCTAGTCCTGGTCTTCGTCCCTGTCTCAATCCTCCTCTCGGTCCTGGTCTCTGGTCTGTTCTCGGCCCTAGTCTCAGTCCTAGTCTCAATCCTGGTCTCGGTCCTAGTCTCGGTCCTATTCCTGGTCCTAGTCTTGGTCCTAGTCTCAGCCCTGGTCTGGTCTCTGGTCCTGGTCTCAGTCCTGGTCTCGGTCATGGTCTAGGTCACATCTTTGGACCCGCCCCTCTCAGTGACCCTCAGGGCTCCACATTCTCACCTGTCCTCTGCAGGAAGAGGCGGAGCATGGGTGTTGCCGTAGCGATGGCGCGCAGGTAGTTGTCGTCGTTGGTGATTGGCAGCAGGTCGCCATGGAGATCAGCGTATCCAATCACGAGGTCGACGGCAGGAACCCGGTGTACGTGCTGCAGAAGGCTAACGAGATCCTGGAACCGACCGGGTTTAGAGCGATCCAAGGAGAACCTCCGGAACTCTGCTCCGAACTGCACACAGGGCATTAGAGCATCAGAGGAGACTGTGAGAGGGGGTCTGGGGTCTGGGGTCTGGGGTCTGGGGTCTAGGGTCTGGAGTCTGGGGTCTGGAGTCTGGGGTCTGGAGGCTCAATGACATTCATGGATTAAAACAGTTTCGATTGGCGTCAGCACAGTGCTTCTCAGTAGAAGGTTCTGGGTTCAATTCTGCCTTCAATAGGGCCGTTCTGAGTGGAGTTTGCATGTTCTCCCTGTGTCTGCTCTGGACAAAAGGCCGTTGTCTCTGTGAAGGAGAGGAACCACAGAGCAGCACAGAGCAGTGGGACAGGTGCTATATAAATATATCCTACGTTTGGATGTTGTGTCGTCATCACGTGCAGAGAGAAGTCCCGCGGGAGTGTCACTTCCTGTTTGGAGTGGTCACTATGGTAGCACCCTGGGCTTACGTCACACCTGCAGATGAACTTTTATTACACATGTATAAACTCAACTAAATAAAGTGTCGCGGACATGCGCAGAGCGACGCATCCCGTACGCTCAGACGCTGTGACGTCACTGTTGTGGTTCTCGCGCTGCACAAGTTGTTTTTTGAGACTTTGCTCCTGGTCCAGTCCGGTCCGGTCCAGACCCCAGACCTAACTCTACTTCACAAACAAACAAGTGACACACACCTTACTCTTGACTTCCACCGCGCTGCGCTCCATGTCTGCCCCCCCGGTCCTGGAGCCTTATCCCGGGTACAAGTCCCGGAAGTGCCGCTAGAAGTGTCCCGTGTCCTCTGTCCCCGTCCCGTGTCCTCGGTCCCCGTCCTGGAGCCACCGTCCCAGGCGCTGCGTAAGGTGCGTACTGTAGTGAAGCCTCAGCCCCGGACCCTTCACAATAAAAGTCTCTGCAGCCCTTTCACAATAAGATTCAGTTCAATGTTTGTGTGTCGCCCTAAACCACAACAGCACTTTACCAAGATGTGGATTCAAACACAGGACTGAGGCTGTAGACCCAGGACTGAGGCTGTAGACCCAGGACTGAGGCTGTAGACCCAGGACTGAGGCTGTAGACCCAGGACTGAGGCTGTAGACCAAGGACTGAGGCTGTAGACCCAGGACTGAGGCTGTAGACCCAGGACTGAGGCTGTAGACTGTGAGATTTCATAACACTTTGAAGCAACTTTTGTTAAAGTTAAACTCATCATTCTATCAATGTGCAGAAGCCAGTACTTTTCCCTTGTTTTGTCTATCTGAAGGCCAAGCTACATGGCACTGTGGCAGCTGCTGATTGGAGGTCTCCATGCCTCTGCTCTGTATAATACACTTGCATTCTCTTGTTCGTGATCGTCTGTTGTGTTCGTGCTGTCTCTACCATCGACAATAAAACATGTCTTCTGTCTGAATGAAAGACGCGATCCCAGACTATCCATCTTCTTCAGGTGGTGGAAGGATGCGGGCCTTGTCTGTAACATCTAGTGAACAGAAGACTTTTTTTTTTTTTACACAAAAAGTGTTTTTTTTTTCAAGCCAAAACTGAGAAACCTCAAGAGAATGCATCTGGATCAGCACTTGGACAATCTGCACAGCCCCTGATTCCAGTCAGGCTGTGAGCTGCTGAGACATGGACAACACCATCGTTCTCTTTTGCATGGACATGATTTGGAACAATTGGATATCTAAATTTGGACATAATTTGGACTGAATTGAATTGCTGAATCTGGACACTAAAGCTGAAACGTGTGATTGAAAGACACGTCACAGAAGAATTCATGGCTCGACACAAATGCAGCCTGAAGAAACCAACACGGAGAAGTGGGAGAGACTGTTTTCAAAGCAATATCTGGAACCACCATCGACTGATGAAGTTTGGTATTTTACTGAAGATTGTTGACAAGTTTTATGAAAGATCTGAACATGTTTTATGAGTTTTATGAGTTTTTGAAGTATTCCGAGTTCTGAGTTTTTTGAAGTACCGAGTGAAGTACCGAGTTTAAGTATTGAGTTATGATGTTATGTTGCTGTTTATCGATCCTGATGGTCACACGGGAATGTGTGACCAGAGGGGGGAATGTGAGATTTCATAACACTTTGAAGCAACTTTTGTTAAAGTTAAATTCATCATTCTATCAATGTGCAGAAGCCAGTACTTTTCCCTTGTTTTGTCTATCTGAAGGCCAAGCTACATGGCACTGTGGCAGCTGCTGATTGGAGGTCTCCATGCCTCCGCTCTGTATAATACACTTGCATTCTCTTGTATCTGTGATTGTGTGCTTTGATCGTGCTGTCTCTACCATCGACAATAAAACATGTCTTCTGTCTGAATGAAAGACGCGATCCCAGACTATGTCATCTTCTTCAAGACCCAGGACTGAGGATGCGGATTCAGGACTGAGGCTGTAGATCCAGGACTGAGGCTGTAGATCCAGGACTGAGGATGTAGATCCAGAACTGAGGCTGTAGACCAAGGACTGAGGCTGTAGACCCAGGACTGAGGCTGTAGACCAAGGACTGAGGCTGTAGACCCAGGACTGAGGCTGTAGACCCAGGACTGAGGCTGTAGACCCAGGACTGAGGCTGTAGACCCAGGACTGAGGCTGTAGACCCAGAACTGAGGCTGTAGACCCAGGACTGAGGCTGTAGACCCAGGACTGAGGATGCGGATTCAGGACTGAGGCTGTAGATCCAGGACTGAGGCTGTAGATCCAGGACTGAGGATGTAGATCCAGAACTGAGGCTGTAGACCCAGGACTGAGGCTGTAGACCCAGGACTGAGGCTGTAGACCCAGGACTGAGGCTGAAGACCCAGGACTGAGGCTGTAGACCCAGGACTGAGGCTGTAGACCCAGGACTGAGGCTGTAGACCCAGGACTGAGGCTCTAGACCCAGGACTGAGGCTGTAGACCCAGGACTGAGGCTGTAGACCCAGGACTGAGGCTGTAGACCCAGGACTGAGGCTGTGGACCCAGGACTGAGGCTCTAGACCCAGGACTGAGGCTGTAGACCCAGGACTGAGGCTGTAGACCCAGGACTGAGGCTGTAGACCCAGGACTGAGGCTGTAGACTCACTAACTTGATAGTCTGCATTCATAATTATAGACATTTCCAGGAGATAAAAGGAGCTGTATTCACACACAGGGGAAATGCCGGAGTTGCAGCGCAGCGACAGGACATCTATGCACAAGGAGCTCCAGAGGCCAAAGTCACATTTACAGAGATACTTTAGAAAGGAATCCATTACAAAAGTAACTATACTCTCAACACTGAACATGAGAACGAGACACGCTGAGCACATACTTGAAGCAGTGCCGCCCTCTGCTGGTCAGTGAGGGCATCTGTCAGGGCTTATTCCAATGTGTCTAACTATTCCCCACGCACATGGTTAGGGTCATAGGTCAGCGTCAGAGTTAGGGTCATAGGTCAGTACTTATTGCGTTTGAGTGTTTAGAGTATATTAACTCATAGATTATTTCACTGATTCTCAACACCCACAGAATATTATGTGCTAAGACTTTGTGAAATATGAAACCAGACTTTCATCAGGAAAAAAAAAGTTTGTTTTTGGCTAGTTTTTTTTTTTTTGTAATCCCCCGTTGAATATAGGGAAGTTTGACAGAAATCACAAGTCTCAGACAAATACGTCAATGGCAGTCCCTCCATCCATCCACCTTCTTCTCTTTAATCCTGAGTTAAAATGATTTATAACAGGCCATTGCAGCAGAAATTTGGATAACCCTAATTTGGGGAGCCCGGGTTCAGATTAGAATGGCATCGTCCACCTGGAGGAAACCCAACCAGACACAGGGAGAGCACAAACATGGTCTTCTTCAAAATCCAATTAATTTCTTAAACATAGATGAGGCACATGTTCCTGCAGAAGAAAAGCAGCTCCACAGCATGATGCTGCCCCCGACACTCTGATGACAGCAGCACACATACTGTACATACACACACACAGACAGACACACACCAGTCTGACTCTTTATGTAGAAAAAAAAAAGATGAATAATGTTCTCCCCCCTCCTTCCCCACTCATCACCCATCCGGCATTACTCCCCCATAATCTCACCCTTCTCTATTTCTGTCTAGGCTCTCCCCCTCCCCCCACTTCTCCTCCCCCTCGTCTCACCCAGAGCAGCAGCAAACACTCCCCCTCTTTCCCCCACAGCAGCAGCTATGTTTTGCCTCCCCCCTCCTCCCTCTCATCAGCAGAAAACACCCCCTCCCTTCTCTTTCTCTCACACTCCCCCTCCTCCCCCGCAGCAGCAGTAGCCCCTCCTCTCTCCCTTTTCTCCCACAATCCTCTTTGTCTTCTCCCTCTGCACACGACACTGCAGCCTCTCCTCCCCCTGCCTCCCACTCCTCCCCCCTCTCTCCAAACCATAGCAACAGACTGTTCACACTCATGTTTCTCTCAAACTTCCGTCACATTTACACTTTGATTCTGTGACTGTACTTCCTTCACTCTCCACAGGGGGCTCTGCTCTTTCCTCAATGAGACAGTATTCTCATTACTCAATGTGTATACCAGGGGCCCCGTGCACCAGTGTGTGTGTGTGCGTCTGTGTGTACGACAGGGGTCGCTGTGAGGAGAATTGTGCGGCAAAGGCCAAGTCCGTTCAACCCCGCTTGCAGCTTTAATTCAGTAACTCTTATAGCCATGTAGCACCATTTCCACTGTTGTGTAACCAGCACCAGGTCCTCCTTTAGTCCTGGTTCTATCCAGGTCGAGATGCTACTAAAGAGCTCTAACTGACAGTGATTGTCCAGGGTGCAGCTGGAAGCCATGGTTACCAAGGAATTACCCCAGATACTGGTTTGTTGTGGGTATGTTGCGAGGATACGGTACCAGATACTTAAGAGTGAGTGGAATAGAGTAGAGTAGGGTAGAGCTGGTGGTTACAGGGATTATTTAAATGGATCCCTCTTAATCCACTGGTCTGGAATTCTGGCCCATTCCTCCTGACTTGAGGCTGGTTTGTAAAAGAGTCAGGACACGGTGGAGCTTTGAACCAGAGAAAACATGACTCAGCTCTTTATTAAACCGCAACCAAAATCGAACAAATGAAGGTTTATTAACAGAGGAGCATATTCTTCATAAACAAGAGAGTTGGGGTCAGATAGCGAACACATGAGGTCAGAGGTCAACACTAATGTGAGATCGAGACCAAAGCCGAAAGGAAAGACACATATGAAACACCGGGATCAGCAGGACTGGGCACTTCAGTCTGGGGGCAGCAGCACTAGTCCGAGCTCCTCACACCTGCTGCTGCCCGCCCCGCGCTGACGACGGCACAAACTTGGGGATGATGATGGGCAGACTCTGGCGGCTGGACCCCGACAGGACGCTGTAGCCGTTTCCAACATGGCCGCTGTGATCTTCCTCTTCCTCTTCATCATCATCGCTCTCATCCTCAGACTGTGGACAAGAAACAAGTTACAGCTCCTCAGTCAGCTTCAGTGTCAGCTTCAGTGTCAGCTTCAGTGTCAGCTCTAATGTCAGCTCTAACGCCAGCTTCAGTGTCAGCTCTAACGCCAGCTTCAGTGTCAGCTCTAACGCCAGCTTCAGTGTCAGCTCTAACGCCAGCTTCAGTGTCAGCTCTAACGCCAGCTTCAGTGTCAGCTCTAACGCCAGCTTCAGTGTCAGCTCTAACGCCAGCTTCAGTGTCAGCTCTAACGCCAGCTTCAGTGTCAGCTCTAACGCCAGCTTCAGTGTCAGCTCTAACGCCAGCTTCAGTGTCAGCTCTAACGCCAGCTTCAGTGTCAGCTCTAACGCCAGCTTCAGTGTCAGCTCTAACGCCAGCTTCAGTGTCAGCTCTAACGCCAGCTTCAGTGTCAGCTCTAACGCCAGCTTCAGTGTCAGCTTCAGTGTCAGCTCTAATGTCAGCTTCAGTGTCAGCTCTAATGTCAGCTCTAACGCCAGCTTCAGTGTCAGCTCTAACGCCAGCTTCAGTGTCAGCTCTAACGCCAGCTTCAGTGTCAGCTCTAACGCCAGCTTCAGTGTCAGCTCTAACGCCAGCTTCAGTGTCAGCTCTAACGCCAGCTTCAGTGTCAGCTCTAACGCCAGCTTCAGTGTCAGCTCTAACGCCAGCTTCAGTGTCAGCTCTAACGCCAGCTTCAGTGTCAGCTCTAACGCCAGCTTCAGTGTCAGCTCTAACGCCAGCTTCAGTGTCAGCTCTAACGCCAGCTTCAGTGTCAGCTCTAACGCCAGCTTCAGTGTCAGCTCTAACGCCAGCTTCAGTGTCAGCTCTAACGCCAGCTTCAGTGTCAGCTCTAACGCCAGCTTCAGTGTCAGCTCTAACGCCAGCTTCAGTGTCAGCTCTAACGCCAGCTTCAGTGTCAGCTCTAACGCCAGCTTCAGTGTCAGCTCTAACGCCAGCTTCAGTGTCAGCTCTAACGCCAGCTTCAGTGTCAGCTCTAACGCCAGCTTCAGTGTCAGCTCTAACGCCAGCTTCAGTGTCAGCTCTAACGCCAGCTTCAGTGTCAGCTCTAACGCCAGCTTCAGTGTCAGCTCTAACGCCAGCTTCAGTGTCAGCTCTAACGCCAGCTTCAGTGTCAGCTCTAACGCCAGCTTCAGTGTCAGCTCTAACGCCAGCTTCAGTGTCAGCTCTAATGTCAGCTCTAACGCCAGCTTCAGTGTCAGCTCTAACGCCAGCTTCAGTGTCAGCTCTAACGCCAGCTTCAGTGTCAGCTCTAACGCCAGCTTCAGTGTCAGCTCTAACGCCAGCTTCAGTGTCAGCTTCAGTGTCAGCTCTAATGTCAGCTTCAGTGTCAGCTCTAATGTCAGCTCTAACGCCAGCTTCAGTGTCAGCTCTAACGCCAGCTTTCAGTGTCAGCTCTAACGCCAGCTTCAGTGTCAGCTCTAACGCCAGCTTCAGTGTCAGCTCTAACGCCAGCTTCAGTCTAACGTCAGTGTCAGCTCTAACGCCAGCTTCAGTGTCAGCTCTAACGCCAGCTTCAGTGTCAGCTCTAACGCCAGCTTCAGTGTCAGCTCTAACGCCAGCTTCAGTGTCAGCTCTAACGCCAGCTTCAGTGTCAGCTCAACGCCAGCTTCAGTGTCAGCTCTAACGCCAGCTTCAGTGTCAGCTCTAACGCCAGCTTCAGTGTCAGCTCTAACGCCAGCTTCAGTGTCAGCTCTAATGTCAGCTCTAACGCCAGCTTCAGTGTCAGCTCTAACGCCAGCTTCAGTGTCAGCTCTAACGCCAGCTTCAGTGTCAGCTCTAACGCCAGCTTCAGTGTCAGCTCTAACGCCAGCTTCAGTGTCAGCTCTAACGCCAGCTTCAGTGTCAGCTTCAGTGTCAGCTCTAATGTCAGCTTCAGTGTCAGCTCTAATGTCAGCTCTAACGCCAGCTTCAGTGTCAGCTCTAACGCCAGCTTCAGTGTCAGCTCTAACGCCAGCTTCAGTGTCAGCTCTAACGCCAGCTTCAGTGTCAGCTCTAACGCCAGCTTCAGTGTCAGCTCTAACGCCAGCTTCAGTGTCAGCTCTAACGCCAGCTTCAGTGTCAGCTCTAACGCCAGCTTCAGTGTCAGCTCTAACGCCAGCTTCAGTGTCAGCTCTAACGCCAGCTTCAGTGTCAGCTCTAACGCCAGCTTCAGTGTCAGCTCTAACGCCAGCTTCAGTGTCAGCTCTAACGCCAGCTTCAGTGTCAGCTTCAGTGTCAGCTCTAATGTCAGCTCTAACGCCAGCTTCAGTGTCAGCTCTAACGCCAGCTTCAGTGTCAGCTCTAACGCCAGCTTCAGTGTCAGCTTCAGTGTCAGCTCTAATGTCAGCTCTAACGCCAGCTTCAGTGTCAGCTCTAACGCCAGCTTCAGTGTCAGCTCTAACGCCAGCTTCAGTGTCAGCTCTAACGCCAGCTTCAGTGTCAGCTCTAACGCCAGCTTCAGTGTCAGCTTCAGTGTCAGCTCTAATGTCAGCTTCAGTGTCAGCTCTAATGTCAGCTCTACGCCAGCTTCAATGTCAGCTCTAACGCCAGCTTCAGTGTCAGCTCTAACGCCAGCTTCAGTGTCAGCTCTAACGCCAGCTTCAGTGTCAGCTCTAACGCCAGCTTCAGTGTCAGCTCTAACGCCAGCTTCAGTGTCAGCTCTAACGCCAGCTTCAGTGTCAGCTCTAACGCCAGCTTCAGTGTCAGCTCTAACGCCAGCTTCAGTGTCAGCTCTAACGCCAGCTTCAGTGCTAGCTCTAATGCCAGCTTCAGTGCTAGCTCTAATGTCAGCTTCAGTGTCAGCTATAATGTCAGCTTCAGTGTTAGCTCTAATGTTAGCTTCAGTGCTAGCTCTAAAGTCAGCTTCAGTGTTAGCCCTAATGTCAGCTTCAGTGTCAGCTCTAATGTCAGCCTCAGTCTTAATAAAGCAGATTTAAACGTGCACTCACCTCTGACATGTCAGCCAGTACGTCCATTGGCTCCACCCCTTCACTATCTTGCTCCTCTGGTTCCTCCCCCTCGTTAGCACACTCCTCTGGCTCCTCCCCCTCGTTAGCACACTCCTCTGGCTCCTCCCCCTCGTTAGCACACTCCTCTGGCTCCTCCCCTTCTTGAGCGCACTCCTCCCCTTCCTCTGACTCAGTCCCCTCAACGCACTCTGGCTCCTCCCCCTCTTCATCACTGTCAGAGGTGATGGTCACTCCAGGCTGCGGTCTGTGTTTTCTCCGTGTTTCTGAAACTCCGATGCGTCTGTGTGACGTGCGCGACGCTCCACCCTGAAACAAGAAGAACCATGTATGAGTTTGTACACATGGTCTCTGTGGGTCAGGTGCACTGTTAGTGTAGCATAGTGTTCTGTACTGTATACTGTAGTGTACTGTAGAGTACGGCAGTGTACTGTGGCGTACTATGGTATACTGTCGTGTACTGTATACTGTCGTGTACTGTATACTGTCGTGTACTGTATACTGTTGTGTACTGTATACTGTAGTGTATTGTATACTGTAGTGTACTGTATACTGTTGTGTACTGTATACTGTAGTGTATTGTATACTGTAGTGTATTGTATACTGTAGTGTATTGTATACTGTAGTGTACTGTAGTGTACTGTATACTGTCGTGTAGTGTACTGTAGTGTAGTGTACTGTAGTGTAGTGTACTGTAGCGTGCCGTGCTCACCGTGAGGCCCTTGTGAACCCTCAGACTGAGTGGATGCTGCAGAGTGCTCAGGCGCTCCATGTCGAAGCCCAGCAGGACGTTGGCGCGCTCGGCTGAACACTTGTGTTTGCACTGGTTCCTCTGGTCTTCAAAGTGAGCGCGCACCTCTGACTCCCACATCCACAGGCGCACAGCCAGCGCCTGTAGGTGGCGCTCTGAGGGGTATGGCTGTGTGTGGAAGTAGCGGCTGAGGAAGGCCCTCTTCTCTGCAGCAGGTTTATTCTCCAGCCCATGAGGCTCCAGAGCCAGCTCCACGAGCGGCTCCTCCGGGTACAGCAGTGCGTTCATGTCTCGGGGGTGTGCCCTCTCTCCAGGGGGGCCTCTGCGGCGCTTGCACGGCAGCGCGTGGCGGCGTGTCTCAGGGTTAGGTCGTTTGGAGCCGCGTGGAGGCACGAGGCGCGCTGAGGAGCCGCCTGTGGCCGTGTGTGCAGAGGAGCCGTTGGTGGTGGGTTTGTTAGCAGAGCTGCCGGTGCCTTGTGCGCCGTGGCGAGCGCTGGCGGCGCCCGGGGATTTCCCCACGCCGCGGCAGTGCACCAGGTGCAGCGTGATGGTGGAGGCCGTCATGTTGCTGGTGTAGACGCCCAGACAGTGGATGCATTTGTAGGTTAGCTTCTTCTCCACCGGGTGAACGGTCTGGATAACCTGCAAGCACAGCGAGAGTTACAGACCCCAGCTTTAACCAGGGCAGACATGCACAAGTTAATGTGGTGTTAGACCCACCTGATGGCGGTCTTTGAGGTGGTGGGCCAGCGACTCGGAGATTGGCCCTTTGAGGATGGAGAAGCATAGTGGACACAGCGTCTTCCCAATGTCACGTTTGTACGGGACCCCAGCTTGAGACGCATTCCTGAGGGCAGCTGAGGAGAGGCGAGAGGAGAGGGGCAGCATCCTCCGGGAGCCCAGGGAAGAGCCCAAAGAAGAGCCCAAAGAGGAGCCCAAAGAGGAGCCCAAGGAGGAGCCCAAAGAGGAGCCCAAAGAGGAGCCCAAAGAGGAGCCCAAAGAGGAGCCCAAAGAGGAGCCCAAGGAGGAGCCCAGGCCCGAGGTCTGGTGGAAGGCCACAGACTCCTCGGGCGCATCCTTCAGGCTGTAGGTGGTGACAATGAGCTGCACGTTCTTGGGGTTCCCCTGCTGCAGCGTCAGGTCAAAGGTGAGGGGGGTGAGGGGGGAGTCTGCTTTGGGGCGCACCGTGGTCTCCCCCGGGTGAGAGGAGCGCATGTGGGACACCAGCTTCTCCACGTCGTTGAAGGAGGCGCGGCAGAAGGAGCAGTTGAGGCCGTGGATCAGCATGTGGTTCAGCAGGGTGTCGCTCGGCAGGTAGCGGTTACAGTACAGACACTTACTGGTGAAGTTGTGGATCTTCATGATGTAGTTAGCCACCGCAGGGACCTGGAGGAGGGGAGGCAGCTTTATTATGTAGCACACACACTGATAGATGCTAGAGTTAGCCACCGCAGAGACCTGGAGGAGGGAGGATCATTGTGCACTGGTCCCTGGTTTATCGCAGGGGTGATGTGTTCTAAAAGATAACCCCCTGAAGTACCAGCACTATCTTCTTCAGCTGCAGTTTGTTTATTGGTATTCACCCACTGTCCCATTGTGTGTTTCATGATGTGACCATGTTAATATTGTGTTTCCTGTGTACGAACTGTTTGTCTGAGTGGGCGGGGCTTACCTTCTCGGCCTTGTGCTCCTTCTCGAAGTGTGCGCTGTAGACGTTCTCTGGGAACAGCTCGTTGCAGATAGTGCAGATCTTCCACTTCTGTGTGAACGCGGTGCCAAGAGCCGAGCCGCGCTTTGGAGCAAGGGATGTGACCGTGGTGGCGGCGGGCTGCACTCGGGCACCAAGTGGGCGGGGCTTCAGTGCGCTCATGGCGGCAGCGCGCAAAGCTGCTCCTGGCGCCTGCTTCACGGCGTGAGACTGTGGCACAAACACTTGTGCGTTACCAGGAAGTGTGAGGCGCACCGAGGCTTTAGGTGTCGCCCCCTGGAACACAGAGGACTTAGGCCCCGCCCCTTGGCTAAGGCCAGTGCGAGTGGTCGCCATGACGGCGCCTTTTGGCCCCATCCCGATCACGGTCTTCTCTGGTGGCTTGGGCGTCACCATGGCGACGGGTTTTGGACGGGGCACCATGACGCTGGTGTGTCCGATCATGGCGGTCACCTGGTACCCGATCCTCTCATGGTCCTCAATCACATGCTGCACCAGCGCCTCGTACGTGCGCGGCACAAACAGACACTTCCTGCAGTGGATCTGCTGCGCGGCCAGAGCCGCCTTGTTCTCCTCCGGGCTCTTGTCTGCACTCTCCCCCTTCTCCCCCTTCTCCCCCTTCTCCCCGGGCCTCACGATGTACGGCTGTGCCACCTGGTGGAAGTGCTCGCGGTAGATGTGTTTGCGCACCACGTTGTACAGAGGGTCTTTGTGCGTACACTTCTTACAGTAGTAAACAGCCTGCTCCACTTTATCAGCTGCAGTCCTGAGGTCCCTGAGGCCTGTGGCCCCCGTGGCCCCTGTAGGCCCAGGGGCCCCGGAGCGAGGCCCTGCAGGGCCCATGTGGAACAGCTTGATGTGCATCTCCAGAGCGCTCTTGTTGCCGTTGAAGCTGCAGTACGGACAGTTGAGCAGGATGTTGTTCTCGAAGTTCTCACTGTGGACGTTCCTGAAGTGGCTCTTGTACGCAGAGAAGTACTTAGACGAGAACACACATCCAGAACACACAAAGGGTTTGGAGCGGTACTCCTGCAACACAGGCCAGACGTCAGTGTGTTACACCAATAAACTACATCAGTAACACACATTAGACCTGTATGTATTTAAGGAATGCAGGCCACGCCCCCACAGTGGGTAGATTCTAAACAGCATCTCTAAAGCCTAGTGTATACTTGCGCGGCGTGGCTTACGTTAGCGGTTGCGGTGGACCTACGTAAGCACAATGGATGTTATACTGGCGCGTTCCCCTTACGGAGTTTTGAGGAGAATGTTGTAATCCCACAACAAACCACATGAGGGCGATCACACAGGAGCGGTCCCATTTACGCTGCTACTTTGTCCTCTTCAGAACAACAATAGCAAACAAAGCTGTTTGAGCTCATTACACGTGTTTCTACTGTAGGTTTATGTGATAGTTTTATGGATTCATTATTTTATAAGTCATTTCAACTGTGATGCTGTGAATAAAGACACAGTTCTTGTTGGAAACATAGTTATTATTAAATAGTTTTCAGCACAAACAGCAAAACAATAATAGTGGTAAATATCTGAGACAAACATGAACGATTTACGAGTGCAGGAGGAAAGCAACAAACGCAGCTACGATTCAAACAAAGACAGGAACAGTTTATAAGTTATATATATGTTAGATATAAGTTATATATATGTTAGATAGTCCACTGTCTCCTGTGTATCAGGCTCTGAGCCCAAACTGCTTTTCCTTCGAAGCGTAAAGCTCTCTGCTCCATAGTGCCTCCTCCATGCTCCTGCTGCAGCCGCTTCATGCTTCCTTCCAATGCACACACACGGACCAATCACAGCTGAGATTCCTTGCGGCGACCTTTACGTAGTTAGAAAATGTTGATGCTGCGCGGCAGGCGACGTAAGGGCCTTGCGGTGACCAACGCGTTGCGCAAGTGACGTCACGTCACCTCCGTAAGCTCCGCGCGAGTATAAACTAGGCTTCACTCGAGCTCTCACCTGCACTTTGGTGTGTGACGGCTCCCATGAACACACATCATCCCAACACGTGTGTTTGACGTAGACTTCAGGAGGCTCGAAGTCTTTGAAGTCCTGTAGGAAAAAACATGTTAGAGGTGTGTGTGTAAAAACTCGTGATAATTACTGAGGGGGAAAAAAACAATTCTGTTCAGCATCATATTTTTTCACACACAATTATATTTATACAGTAGAACAAAGTATGACGTCTGCTTGTTGTGACTCTATGACGTCTGCTTGTTGTGACTCTATGACGTCTGCTTGTTGTGACTCTATGACGTCTGCTTGTTGTGACTCTATGACGTCTGCTTGTTGTGACTCTATGACGTCGGCTTGTTGTGACTCTATGACGTCTGCTTGTTGTGACTCTATGACGTCGGCTTGTTGTGACTCTATGACGTCTGCTTGTTGTGACTCTATGAAGTCTTTGATTAATAGGACGACATCAATCACAGAATCTGATACTTTCTGTTTCGCAGTATGTGAAGAATCACATATTATTGAATCCTCTCATTTTTGCCCGTTCCCAGCCCTCGTGATAATTGTGATCCAGATGACAGTGGTGACCCTTCAGACTCACAGGGAGGTGCTCTCTGGCGAAGTCCAGGCCGATGTCTCCTAATGCCTTCTTCACGTTCTTTCGCGCCTTTCGCAGCGCGCTCAGGTTATTCACCGGCAGCTGGAACATCCTGGCACCGCACTGTGGCTCCGCCCCAACAGGTGTGGCTCCGCCTCTCCAGTTGTGGCTCCACCCTCCGGCTGTGACCCTGCCCCTACGACTGTGGGGCACCACAAAGACAGTTTAGAAGTAGCTCTAGAACACCAGTATAACCGTATGATCCTGTATTTTATTAATTTATGAATAAAGACAGGAAGGGAATATCTCCCTCCGGTGGCAGAAGTGTGACACTACATGTGGTGAGATCTGAGGACACAGCAGTCATTTCAACTGCTCAGTCCATGAGGATCATCACAGTGTAACGAGTTTGAAGACAGAGCGTCCAACAGAAGGGGTGGGGGGGGCAACATGGACAGAGCTACAATCAGCTGCAGGTCTGTGAGCTTCAACACTGGGGAGAGAGCTCCATTAGTGAAGCCACAGAACAGCACCTCCTGCTGAGACGGGAGAGAACTACAGCATGTGCGCAGAGAGAAAGAGAGAGAGAGAGGGAGAGAGAGAAGGAGGAGGGGGGAGAGGGGTGAGAGGGGGAGGGGACGAGGGAGAGGTCGACAGCATGTGTGCAGAGAGAGGGAGGGAGAGGGAGAGAGGGAGGGGGAGGAGGGGATGAGGGGGGAGGGGAGGAGGAGGGAGAGGACGACAGCATGTGTGCAGAGATAGAGAGAGAGAGAGGGAGGGAGGAGGGTGAGAGGGGGAGGGGACGGGGGAGAGGACATGTCTGCAGAGAGAGAGAGGAGAGGGAGGAGGGGTGAGAGGGAGGTGAGGGGAAGCAGGAGAGTGAAGGGGGAGGAAAGGAGAGAGAGGAAACAGGGCACATGAGAGGGAGGGGAGAGAGGAGGGGGAGGAGGGGGGTGAGTGGAGGGGGGTGAGAGAAGAGCAAGAGAGGTTAGGGAGGGAGGGGACGAGCAAGAAGAGACAGAAAACAGCACATAAGCGGGAGGGGGGAGAGAGGAGATAGAGAGGAGGGGGAGGAAAGGAGAGACAGAAGCAGCACATAAGAGGGGAGGGAGAGAGGGGGGGGGAGGGAGGGGGGGAGGAAAGGAGAGACAGAAGCAGCACATTAGAGGGGGGAGGGAGGGGGGAGGGAGAGAGGGAGGGGGGGAGGAAAGGAGAGACAGAAACAGCACATAAGAGAGGGGAGGGAGAGAGGGAGGGGGGGAGGAAAGGAGAGACAGAAGCAGCACATAAGAGAGGGGAGGGAGGGGGGAGGGAGAGAGGGAGTGGGGGAGGAAAGGAGAGACAGAAGCAGCACATAAGAGAGGAGAGGGAGGGAGGGAGGAAGGGAGAAAGGGAGGAAGAGAGGGGAGGGAGGGAGGGAGGAAGGGAGAAAGGGAGGAAGAGAGGGGAGGGAGGGAGGAAGGGAGGGAGAGAGGGGAGGGAGGGCGAGACAGAAACGACACATGAGAGAGGGGAGGGAGACAGGGGAGGGAGGGAGACAGGGGAGGGAGGGAGACAGGGGAGGGAGGGAGACAGGGGAGGGAGGGAGACAGGGGAGGGAGGGGAGGGAGGGGGAGGAAAGGAGAGACAGAAACGGCTCATGGGAGAGGGGAGGGGGAGGAGCAGTGGATTTAACACAACATGGAGTGGGTGAGGAAGGGTGAGGAACAGGGAGGGGAGGGGGGTGAGGGAAGGAGAGAACAGCTCAGTCTGCAGCAGAAAAACAGGCCTAGACCTGAACCAGGTCTAAACCAGTTCTGGACCAGGTCTAAATCAGGTCTGGACCAGGTCTGGACCAAATCAAAAGCAGCTCTAAGCTGGACCTAAGCAGGTCTAAAGCAGCTCTAAGCTGGACCTAAGCAGGTCTAACGCAGGTCTAAGCTGGACCTAAGCAGGTCTAAAGCAGCTCTAAGCTGGACCTAAGCAGGTCTAACGCAGCTCTAAGCTGGACCTAAGCAGGTCTAACGCAGCTCTAAGCTGGACCTAAGCAGGTCTAACGCAGCTCTAAGCTGGACCTAAGCAGGTCTAACGCAGCTCTAAGCTGGACCTAAGCAGGTCTAACGCAGGTAAGCAGGTCTAGACCCGGTCTTGATCCTCTCTAAAGATTAAAATAAAACAAGTATGATGAATATTTAAATAAAATAATGAGTTTTGTTTTTGAATAACCTTTCCATCCTAATGGATGAGGCCTTCAGTGTGGGACAGAGACAGCTCCAAGTCTCACTGCTGTGTAAGAACATCACATGTGTGTATTTTTAAGACTCTGGAGACTGCAAACTCTGAACTCACTTAAAGTCACTTTCATACAAACAGATGGAAATGCTCAAATGTCCCCTTCATGTCCTCTTAGGTGTTTATACTGAGGACATAGTCTGGATATTAGTTTTAGTATTGATACAAGTCTTTCACCATGATGTGAAATCAGGACTGTTGCCATAGTGATTGAATAACGCGAAATATTGTAAATGTTGAATGAAGACGGAAACAGAAGCAGAGACCTGTGGAAAGCTGTCACCCCGAAGCCTCGCATCTGCCTCCTCTTTCACCCTCCTCCCGGATCCCTCCCCCCAGCCTCCCTTTCTCCCCCCAGTAAACACCCTCCATGCCCCCCCTCTTCCCCCAGTAAACAGCCTCACTCTCTCCCCCAGTAAATTGCCTCTCTTCTCTCCCCCCTTCTCTCCCATACCCCCGTGTCTCACCCGCTCACCGCCTCTTCAGCGCTCCCACAGCCGGCCTCTGAAGCCCCACAGGCGGACACGGGCTGTGTGGACCCCGGTGTGTGGACACCCGGTGACCGGGCGGCTGTTGGTCGCTTCTCAAGCCGGGTAAAGGCTCTTGTTCCTGGGATGACAGTGGGCACAGAGCCGCTGTCGGACCAGGACCAGGAGTGTGGTTCTCCTCAGTCCGGGTAAAAGTACTTGTTCCCAGGCTGACAGCGGATCTCACCTCGCTCTCCTGGTTCTCCCAAAGCCGATAGAGTTCTGAGCAGGCGCTGGTCTGTCGTTACCCGGGAAAAGGCTCCACAGCGCGACCGACTCTGGAGCTCTCACCGCTGTTCTGGTTCTCACTGAGACAATACAGACAGTCCAAGATGGCTGAGATGCAGCGCCGGAAGTAGTCATAGCATTAGCATTTTTATCTTTATCAATATTGACAAATTTACGTTGACATATATTCTCAGTGTGTTTTCACACGAATGCAATTAATAATAAAATAGTTAAATTAACACATTTATATTGCGCAAACTCGCTCTAGCGCATATCTCCCGCCTCGTCTCAAAAGCTGCCGCCATCTTGGAATTGTCAGCCGCCATATTTGGACTGTCCGCCTGTATTGGCCTTTATTTTATTTATGGGTTTTATCGCATGTAAGTAAGTAAAGTGTATTTGTATAGCGCCTTTCACAGACTAGGATCACAAAGCGCTTCACATTTAAATATACAGATAATGTTGTGATTTGAATAAATTGACTCCAAATGCAGATCCAAAGAGTAACAAGTAAATTTAATATAAAAAAAAACACTGGAGAAACAAAAGTAGTTTAAAAAATATTCAGGAAAAAACAATATGCAAGCTAGTCCTCCATCTAAGGAAAAAAAAAAAAGTTTCTCAAAAGTTTCAGAAAAGGCTTTGCTTCTACCGCAGTCAAGGGACCAACTGGCAGTGGCCGAGTGGATTTCCAGCATACAAATACTCTCCCCAATGGGCTCTATGCACGCACCACTTCCGCGTTTTAGCTACTACCCCACTTCACTTCCTGTTCGCGGGAAACAGCTTGAGTTTCACTGGAGTTCAGCAGTGGTTTACACGAGTTTCCCAAATAATGCTCAAACGGGAATTAAACTGTGAGGATACTGGGCATTTTTGGGACACAGCAGTGCTCTTTGATTGTGCTGTCATTGTGTTTTTATAAAGTTTACAAATCCCTCTGCCTCTCACTCACTCCACTCTACTCACATTAAAAACAACAATCAACTAACTCACACATATAACATTCTCTTTACTCCCATTTCAAAACAAAAACAAACAAAAAAAAATACACAAACACAACACACTCAACACAAACACACAAGAAAACAACCAAAAACACAACACAAACAACAACAACAAACACACAAAACACACAACAACAACAACAAACACAAACCAACACACAAACAACACACAACACAAAAACACACTAAAAACAAAAACACACAAAACAAAACAAAAACACAAACAAAAACACACACAACAAAAAAAACCCCACCACAAACAAAACCAACACAAACAACAAAAACAAAAACCATCACCAAACCACACATCACAACCCCATCAATACTCACAAACCCAACCCCAAACATCCACCATAAAAACACCCACACCCAAAATCACACCTACACCCCCAACCCTAAAAACACACAAACTACCCCTCCAAAAATACCCTACACCATAAACCTCCCATCCAAACAACCTACACCACCCAACATATAAAATATCCCTTCTACCCACACCCAAATCCTTATTAACCAAAAAAAACACTACCCAAATAATAAATATATCATATACACACTCACCCAACACAATACAAAAAAAAACACCACCCAAACTAACAACACCATAACCCACAACATACACAAAAACAAACCCATAAACACTCACCAATCAAAAAATTAACCATAAAACCACTACCCAATAACATAAAAAAACCATAAACCCCACCACTCACAAAATACAACCAAACCCAAAAAAAACTAACCAAATCCCACCAACCAAAAAATCCAATAACAAACTACCCCAACCAACACACAACAAACACAACAACACACACCATCAAAACTCACACATAAACAACAACAACTAAAAACAAAAAACTACCATATCCAATTCATAAATCCCTATACCCACTCACCCAAAAATAAACAACCAACAACCCCCAATCCCAAAAAAAAAAAAACAAAACCCAACCCAAAAAATTAACTCACCCAAAAAAAACATTAAAAATCATAAAAAAATAATCACTTACATCAATCCAAACAAAAAATCATCTAACACCTACCAATAAATAATCCTTCTATAACTTATAACATATCTCACCCACCAACTTACAACTTCCAACAAAACCAACATTAAACCCACCACAACAAACCAAACTAATATACTACAAACAAAACTAAATACTAAAACCACCACACACAATCCCACACAACAAACTAACAACACTACATCCACTTTTATCTATAACTACCAAACTCACACTACTAAACTCACTACTCAAACTCCCAAAAATCTCCAACTAATTATCCTATCCCAAATTAATCCTAACCACCCCAACCAATTAACCTAAAAACCACCACAACAAACCCACCACAAAAAAACACAACCACATCCCCCCCATCCCAAACCCCAAAACAACTCCACACCCCTATACCATCAAATAATTCAATTCCACTCACCCAACAACTTCACTACTACATCATCTCCATCCATTCCTTAAACCAAAACCATCCTTACCCAACTACCAACACCATCCACTAACCATACCTCTCTCCCATACTTCCCATCAAATTCCTCTACCCATTACCTCCTAAACCATTCTTCCATAATTTCTAAACCATACTACCTCCTTACATAAACATCCCATAATTCCACTAAACCATTACACCTCCTCTACCACTACTTCCATCAAATTCCCCTTAAACCATAACCCTCACCCATATTCCACATTCCTTAACCCATTACTTAATACTTCCCAACCTACCTTAAACCCATACATCCCTACCATATTCCCATCACATTCCTTAAACCCATTACACCACTACCATACTTCCTACCATACCTCTAAACCAATACCTCCTCAACATACTTCCATCAACACTTCCTCTAAACCAATACTCCTCTACAAACATCCCATCCTTCTCTAAAATTACCACTCTACATACCATTCCATCAACATTCTTAAACAAACCACATCCCTACTTCCACTATCACCATACCTCTAAACCATAACCTCTCTACCCATACTTCAAACTTCCTTAACCCCATTACCTTCTACCAAACACAACCAATCTCTAACATTCCACTTCAAACTCTCCAACATTCCCCTCTAAACCCTTACTCCTTCTACCTACTTCCCAATCAATTCTCTAAACAATTACTCCTTAAATACATTCCATCACCATCCTCTAAACCCATACTCCTTACATACTTCCATCACATTTCTAAACCATTCTCCCTCCTACTTCTCATAACAAAATTAATTCTACTATCTCACCAAATTAACCTCTATTATACTTCCCCAATCTCAAAAATTCTCCCCTTACCCTACCTCAAAAATATAAAACAACAAACACATCACTAACCATACCACTACCTCATACACAACCACATATATAATATAATCATTAACCCATAACCCTAATCATAAAAAAAACATAACCCACACAACTCAACAATTAATCCAACATTAAATAACCCCAACATACAACAAAAAAACAACCTTAATTAAAATCAATAAAAAAAATCTTATCTACCATACACACTATATATAATATATAAACAAATAAATCAAATACTACTTACCCACCCTAAACTCTCAATAATCTAATAATCCCCATCCCCACAACCCATATATAACAACAACAATCCCAAAACCACCCCACCCTCCAATCACACAACATCCCTAACAAACCCCCATCCTCACCATCCAAAATTATTTCAACCCACACCTCACCAAAACACACTATCATTAATCTCCTTCCCCCCCCCACCCCTCATCTATAACCCATATTCAACCTTACCCCTTAACTCAATATAAATAATCACTCCCCCCTTTCCCCTACCATTAAATCCATCATCCTCATCTAAACCAAACCCCCCCTAATAAATCCCTTTAACATCCCAACCCCCAAACCCCTCTCAATCCCCCAATTAAATCCCCCAAAACCTACCCTCAACCATCACAAACTCCACACACCCTCAACACTCAACACAAACTAACCCTACCAATTAAACAACACAACACACTCATACAAACACCAATCTTCCATTCACACATATAAATAATAAAAAACCCACTAAAATAACAATAACACCACACCCCACAACAACCCAAACTACCAAATCTAAAATTTATCATTAATTATAAAAATAACAATCTTAATTAATTAATATACAAACATATTCAAACCCCACTATCCATAATCCTTTCCCCCCTATCTATAATCAACTCCTAATCCCCCCCCACATCCCATCACACCCACAAACCCACCACCATACCACACACCAACAAACACACATAACCCAACCCACCACCACCATACCCAAAACACAAACCCTAACCACACAACCCCAACACACCCCTCCAACAAAACCCCACCTACAACCCCCCACCTACAACACCACCACCCAACAATCCCCCAATAAAATACAACACAAAAAAAACCATAAAAAAACAAATACAACAAAAAAAACACAAAAAAAAAACAAACAACACAAAACCACACATCCAAAACACACTCAAACCACCAAAAAAAACAACCAAACAAAAAAAACCCACCAACACACCCCCAACCCCACCACCCCAAAACACCAACCCCCCCACCAACCAACAACAACAAAAAACAAAACACAAAAATCAAAACAAACACCACAACATACCACCACCCAACCAAACCCCAACACCCACAACCACCACCACCAACACCACAAACCAACACAACACAACCTAAAAAAAAACAAAAACCAACCCACACAACAAAACAAAAACCCCAATAAAACAAAAACAACCCCCCACCCCCCAAAAAACAACACAAAAACAAACCAAAAAACAAATAAAACCATAAACCACAAAAAACCAAAACCATCAAACAAAAAAACAAAAAAAAAAAAAACATAACAAACACCCCACCCAACCCAACCAACAACACCCCACCCACCCCCCAAAAAAAAAAAACAAAAAACCAACAACCCAAAAAAAACCCACCACCCCAACAACCCACACCAAAACACTAACACAAACCAACAAACACAATAAAAACCTAAAACACAAAACAACCAAAAAACCACAAAACAACCCAACAACCACCACACACCCCCCAACCAACACCCACAACATCCCACAAAAACCACAAATCCCCACAATAAAACAAACCAAACATCATAAAACAATCTACCCACAACAAAATATTCCCACCTAACCCCACTACTAAATAAACATTTAAAATATAATCAACTCATACCCTCCCCACCCCCTGCCTATTTACTATCTATCCACTCTTAAAAGATTAAATAAAATTATCATAAACAAAACCCCTTATTCCAACCCACCACCCCACACATCAACAACAACCCATCCCATCTTACCAAAATCCATACTTTAAACAACCCTCCCAAATCCCTCAACCTTTCCCTCAAACTAATCAAACACCAAAAAACCAATCCACTTCCAATAAAAACTTAACAACAAAAAACCTAATAATAATATCTTCTCTCCCTACCTCTCAAAACCTATCTTTTCCCTCCCACCCCCCCAAATCACATCACCCATAAAATACAAATTACCACTTACTCATATAAATTCACCCCACCCAACCCACATCACACCATAAATTCTATACATCCAACACCTATATTTACTTCTTTTTCTAAATCATTATCAATCACAACTTTTTTAACTCCATTTAATTCTCCTCTTCCTCCCCCCCTCCCAATATCTCCTTCATACCAAACATTAATCTATAATTAAACAAAATCTTTCACCCACTTTTCACCAACCTCCTACTACTAAATATAATTACAAACTCCATCTTCCACAACCCACACCCACTTCACTCTCTTCCCCCATTCAAAAACTATTATTATCTAACTCAACTAACCATTCCTACACTACACACTACACACAACTACAAACAAATCTCTCATCTCTTCTCTCTCTACTCTCTCTCTCCACATCTTCTACACTTCTCATCTTCACTTCTCTCTACCTTCTCTATCTCACTCAATCACTCATTCTATCTACACTCTACTCTATCTCTTCTTTCTTCCCTCTTCTTCTCTCTCTCTCTCTTCTCATCTCTCTCCAATTCTTCTCTATCTCACTTAAATTCTCTTCTCTACAAACTACTTCTCACTCAATATAACAACAAATCACTTCTTTTCTCTTTCTCATCTCAACTTCTCAATTACTCACACCTCTCATACACTTCAACCTCTCACTTCTCATCTACTTCACATCTACTACTATCTACTAACACAACATACTTACTCTTCTTCACTATACTCTTCCAAATCACACTCTCTATCTCTCTCACTACAACAACTAACAACACATATCTCACCACAACAACAACAACAAAACTCAAACACACACAACACACACACAAAACCCAATCAAACACACACTATCTGATTCAACAACACACAATTACATCTCTCAACTCCACTCACTCACTCTAAAACACACACATCTTCATATACTAACACCTCTTACTTCCACACACTCATACTACATCACTCTTCCACTCTCTCTCTAATCATATCACTCTCTACTCCACACACACACAACAACTAAACATCACAACACTCCAAAAAAAACTCACAACAACAAACTTACATATCTCACACACTCTCTCCCATCTAATCTCATCCCCCAACTTCACATTTCACAATCAACATACACTCTCTCTCTAACTCTCTTTATCTCATCTTCACATCTCTTCTCTTCCTTTCTCTCTACATCTTCACTCTCTCTATCACATTCCTCTACTCTCTCACCCACAACTCTTCTTCTACATCATCTCACTCTCACATACTCTCTTTTACTTTCTCATCTCTCATCACACTACTCTCACAATCTCTCACCTCATCTCCTCTCAAACAAATCCCACACCCACCAACACCAAACACAAATAAAATAAAACCCCCAATAACCAACTTAAATAAAATCACACCACCAACTAACCCTCACATACACTACTTATACTATCTTCATACACACATAATACTATCACAACCAAACCAAACACCCTAAATCCACCTAACCAAAACTTAACAATCTACTAAACACATAACTCATTCAAACCCCAAACAAAAATAATTCCCTACCCTTATTAAATATAACAATCATATTAAATAATACATATACACCTACCCTCATATTCTCAATAACAAATCCACATAATAAAACAAACCTCCCCACTCCTAAATTCCTTTTTCTCTCTTATCAACTACTTCTCCCCCACCAACATCAATACAACCAACAATCATTTCTACCCCACCCCATAATCCCCATCACCCCAAATCCCATTCTATTAATCATCCCCTATTCTCCTTCATCACTTTTCTAACTCTTTTTAATACCCCAAAACTATAAAACCTCCCCCATCAATCACCCTTTTTAATACAACCTTCAAACTCCCCTATACTTCCATATCTACCAAAAATCAATCTTTCTATATTACCCTTATCCTCTAATATTCAACAAATAACCTTAAAAAAACTAAACACCAAACCACAACAAAACTAACCCAACCACAACCAACTCTCCTCAAACAAAAAAAAAAAACATAAAAATCTTCCCCCCCTACCTTCATATATTCCTATTATCAATTTCTAACCCAACCTAATCCACTCACCATCAAAATAAACTAATAATCTATATAAACCATACACCACAAAAAAACAAACTCACATCAACTACAAAAAAAAAATACCCACAATAACCCAACCCACACCCCACCAAACACCACAAACAACCTATCAATAAAACCCCATCCTCCCACAAACAATACTAACCTTTCATACTCCAATAATCATTCTACATCATTAAACTACCAATATTTCATTCCCATCTCCCTTCCTCTACTCAACATTTTCTTATTCTTCCCCACATCCCCTCTTCCCCTACCCCATATTTTCAATTATATAACCCCCCCACCACTAAATTCCCACCCAATTACTCACATTCATTCACAATCCTCATTCCTCTTCTTACCACTACAACTATATCCAAAATCCCACTCACCCTCAACTACCTCTTCTTCAACTATATTCACTTTTCCATCATTCAACCTCCAACTTCAACAACACATCCAACACAAAACCTCCCCCCACAACATACTCAAAAAATCCCCCATTCCAAACTTAACCACTCCCACACCTTCCCAACCATACAATCAACACCCTCCACCAAAATAATTAAACCATATACCCATACATCAAAAACCATACTAATTAAACCATATACCCAATTAATCACAAAACCCCATATAAATTAACCCAATCCCCAATTACATACAAACCCCATATAATTAAACATAATACCCAATTAACATTACAAACATACTAATTAAACCATATACCCCAATTACACACAAAAATACCAATAAACCCATATACCCAATTACATAACAAAAACATACTAAATACAACCATAATACCCAATTAAATCAAAAACAAACTAATTAAAACCAAATACAAATAAACAAAAACCACTAATAAACCATCATACCAAAAAAACACATCCAAAAAACAACATATACCCAAATAACCACAAAAATACACAATAAACATACCCCAATTAAATAACAAACACTAACTTAAAATCTACCCAATTAATACAAAATATAAATACACATATACCCAATTAACATCACAAAACCATATAAATAAACATATACCCACTTACATCACAAACCATACTACATTAACAACCCATTATACCCCACTACACCAAAAAACATATAAAAACCAAATCCAATACACACAAAACCATACTAATTAAACCATATACACCAATACATACACAAACAACTAAAAAACATATAACCCACATACACACAAAACTAATTAAACATATACCCAATTAATCAAAACATACTAAAACAACCATAACCCCACTAACTAACAAACATTAATTTAATCAACTATTATCAACATTAATCCAAACACCACAACTTTAAACTTTTACAACATATTACTTATACATTATCTACCCTCTAAATATATCCAAATAAAATATAAAATAATAACCCAAACATACCCACAAACACATAACCACCCACAATCTCCATCTTATCCACAACCACAAACCCACATCAACCCTCAACATAAAACCAATAATAACAAAAACAATAACACCATACACCAACCAACATACCATACCACCCACACCATTTACAAACAACTACCTACCCACTACCACAAAACAATCCCTTCAAACTAATAAATAAACTTCACCCTCACCCTCCATCCATTACCTATTATATTACTCACTACACCCTAATATTATCCATCCTTAATCATCTAATCTAAAATTATTATTCATTTTAATACACTTCCCATAATACCTTTCCACCACTAAAACACACATTAACCTTACAAAACCAAATAACCATCCCAATCCCTATCCTTTCCTTCCAAAAACCCTCTTCCAAAAAAACACACTCCAAACCCCCTCCCTTCCAAACAACCCTCCAAAACCTCTTCCAAATCAACACACTCAACCACCTACCAAAAACACACTCCCCAAAAACCCTCCTTCCAAACAACACATAAAACCTCTTCAACAACACACACAAACCCCTACCAACCAAACACACACTCAAACCTCCTTCCAAACAACACATAAACCCTCCCCTTTCCAAAAAAAACACACCACCCCCTCCTTCAAAACACTCCCAAACCCTCCTTCCAAACACAAACCCCAACCCCACATTCAACAACACAACCCACACCCTCTTCCAACCACATCAACCCCACATCCAAAAAAACAACCACCACTCACTTACCACACACACCCCTAAACCACATCCACAACACACCCAACCCTCCTCCAAACAACACACTCCCACCCTCCTTCCAACACAACTAAACACTCAACACACACACAACCACTACCAAAACCACAACAACCACCTTCCAAACAAACACACCCACCCTCCATCAAACACACACACTCCACCTTTACTCACCCCCCTCCACCAATTACCCCACAAAAACCACATAAACAATTACAAAATCCCAAACACAAATTAAAACATAATTAACCATTAAACCAAATTACAAATATTAACACCAAATTAACAAATTAAAATTAAAAATAAAATAAAAAAATTACAAACCATTACACAAAATTAAAACAATAAAAATAACAACCATTAAAAAAATTACAAACATTTAAACAATTAAAAAAATAAAAATTAACATTAAACAACAAACTAACAAAATTAAAAAAATTAAAACACATTAACAAAAATAAAAAAATAAAAATTAAAAAAAAAATAAAAATTAAAAAAATTAACAATTACAATTAAAAATTAAAAATTATTATAAATTAACAATTATTACAATTAACAATTAAAATATAACAATTAAAATTAAAATTACAAATTAAAACCATTCACACATTAAAACATTAAAAATTATAAACACATTAAATCCCTTCCCTCACAAACCCCCAATATCTTCTTCTCTAAACTCTAATACCTTTTACATCATTATCATACCTCATAATACCCAATCTCAAATAAACATAAATCTCTTCTATATCCACAAAATATCCACATATATATCCACCCATATATTACCATATATCACCTATATCTCATTATTCCACCTATAAATATCTCCACCATATAATACCAATAACCCCTATCACCCAACTATCACCATACTCCCCCAAAAAAAACACCCATACTCCCCAACCCCTATAACCATCATAATATCCAAAATAACTACCATAAAACCAAAAATTAACCACACCAAAACACCCACATAAAAACCACCCAACATCCCCAACAAACCACCAAATCCCACTACCAAACACACCCCACCACACCCCCACAACAACACCCCAATCCCCAACCCCCCCACACCCACTAGAGACCAAATTACAAAACAACACCCCATCTAACCAATAAAAAACTCAACTCCACCTTAACCTCCCAACTACTTTTAAATATATCACCAAAAAAACACCTCTCACATCTAACACCCTATTTTTCTCCCCCCACCATTACTCTTATCACCATCACAATAACAAACACAACAACACCTCCTCCCAACCAAAAAAAACACCCTCAACCCACACAAAACAAAAACCAACAACACAAAACAACAATAACCAACAAATAAAAACCCAAAAAAAAACAAACCCACCAAACCAAAAACAACCACAAAACACCATTCAAAAACACCAACACAAACCACAAACAACACCAAAAACACCCCACCCAACCCAAACCACACCACCCACACACCACCTAAAAAACCCCCCACAACCAACACAAACCCCCCCCACACACCCCCCACAACAACACACCCACAAAACCCACACCAACCACACAACCAAAACCCCCCACCACCACCCCCCCCCCACCACCCACCCACCCCCACCCACCACACACACCCACCCCAACCCCTAACCCAAACACCCCCTACACCACTAACCACCAAAACCTACCACACCACCCCATTCCACTTACAAACCAACCACACCTAAAAAACCCCAACCACCACCACCCCATCCACACACCACAACCACCCCATACCAACAAAACAAACAAACATAACCCCCACACCACAACCCCAACACAACCCAAATAATCCCATCCAAATACATACCCCCACTACACATAACCCAACCAAAAAAACAAACCCACAAAATAATCCCCCCAACAAAATGTTATAGAACCATCACCCAAATATAAACCCAAACATCACAAACCAACCCACTACACAACTCCACCACCACCACCCACCCACCAACCACCCCCCAAACACACCCCCACCCAAAAACAACCCCACCCTAAACAAACCCCAACTACAACAACAACCCCCCAACACAAACCCCCACACAAAACCCACCAACAAAAACCCACACCACCACCCCCCACCCACCACCCCCCCCCAAAAAAACTCCCACCACCACTCAAACCACAATATAATAAAACCAACCAAACAAAACCCCCCACAAAAAAACCCCCACACAACACCCCAACACCACACCCCCCCAAAACCCCCCCAAACACAAAACCACAAACACCCACCACAACCAAAAAACCCAAACCACCACCCCCAACACCCCCACACCAACCCACCCCCCACAACACAACACCACCACATAAACCCCACAAAAAACCCAACCACCCAACAACCCCACCAAACACACACCACACACAACCCCCAACAAAACCAACACACTATACCAACCTAAAAAAACCCAACCAAAATAAATCCCCTACAATACATTACCACCCTATAACAATACCACCAAAACTACAACCCAACTAAAAAATACCCCAACCTCATAAAACCACCAACAAAAAACCCACCAAAAAAAAAACCAACAAACTACAACCCCACCTCCCACCACCAACCACCACCACCCCCACCCACCAACCCCCCAAAAAACCCAACATAAAAAATCACAAACCAACACCTCCAAAATACCCCACACAAAACTATACCCCAATAACAACCCCACCTAAAAACACCCAACTAATAATACCAACAATAAATACCCAACCTCAATAATACCCAAACCTCAATAATACCAACTCCAAAAATACCAACTACATTAATACCCCAACAAAAAATACCCAACCTCACAATAATCCACACCTTACATACCCAACCTATATACCTACCAACCTAAATAAAACCAACCTCATATACATACCCACTAAATACCCATACCACACCTATAATAACACAATAATACCCAACTAAATACATACCCCCACCTTAATACATCCAACTCCCCAATATACACACCTAATACTACCCACACCAAAATAAACCCCACACTACTAATACCACTAACCACTCACCCAAACCCCCAACCCAACCACCAATAAAACCCCAACAACACCAACTAAATAAAACCCAACAAAATCATACCCAACCTCATATAAACCCAACCTAAAAATACCCAACCAAAATAAACCAACCAATAATACCAACCTACATATACCAACAAAAAAAACCACTAAATCATACACCCAAAAAATAAAACCCAAAAAAAAAACTAATCCACCCCAAAACCAAACAACCAAACATACCACCCCAAAAATCCAACAACCACATACCAACCAACAAACATAACTACCAACCTAAAACCCAACCAACCTAAATACCAAACCAACAAAATATCCCAACCAACAAATCCCCCCCAAATAAAACCCCCAAACAAATAAAACCCAAACCTAAAAACCCAACTAACTATACCCACCCAATCAAAACCCCCCACCAAACCATAACTAACCCAACCTAATACATAACAAACCTAATACATACCCAACTATATAATAACCCAACCTAAATAATACCCAAACCTAATAATACCAACTATATAATACCCACACCCAAATAATACCCAATAAATATAAATATCTAAAACCCCAATCCATCAAAATTAATATTAATATTATCATCTCACACCATTTCCCCTTCTCACAAACATCACTACAACCATTTCCTCTCCCATCACTTCAATAACCCCTAACAAATTATTACATTCAACTTTAACCTACCCTAATTCAACTATAATATAAACCTACTAATTTACACCTCAATACCATTAACCACCTAATTACAACTACTAATTCACTACACATTAAAACTATACATTTACAAATCAACTCCCACTAATTAAAACAAACTAATTCAACCAACTAAAAATAACAACTATTAAACTCAAATTCAACAACTCATAAACCATACAAAAAACCCAACCAAAATCAAACCACAAATTCACACTACAACTTTACTACACCTTACACCAACACAAAAACCTACCCTCATACCCCACAACCAACCAACTAATTAAACAACAACATAAAACCACCACATATCCCCTAACAAAAAAACAAAAAAATACCCACTAATTTAACCAACTCATAACCAACCACCTAAATACCCAAACACCAAAAACCTAACTAAATAACCTACCAAAAATAACCTAATAAAAAATTACAAAATAACACAAAAAAACCATAATTCAACCAAACAAAACCACAACAACCCCCCACCCCCACAACCCTCCACCATCCTTTACCCTATAAATAACAAACCCCATAATTTCATAATAAATCAATACTCTCATCCACCAAATCCATTAACACTATCATCTCCAACCAACTTTCTCACCCCCCACCAAACCCACCCCAAACAATTAAAACCCAAATTAACAAAAACAACATTCCACATCATACACACCACAAATTAACCCTTAAACACATTAACAAATTACCTATCACCCCCAAATAAAAACCCACCTCCCCACACCCACCCCACCAATACCAACAACAAACAAAAACCCTAACCAACTAAAATAATACACCCATATACAAAAAAAACACCCCAACTACATCAAATACTACCTCCCCATAACCCAACTTAAAACCCAACATATCCACCCACCATAAACAATCCTTACTCCCCCCCACAATCAACCCCCATCACCTACCCAATACAATAACCAACCCTATTCAAAACAAAAAAAAAACTTCACACATATCCAATATACTACCCTTCAAAATTAAAAATTTAATCTTCTTACCATTCCAAATCCTCCCTAAATCACTACCCCCCCATCTCTACCATATTATTTCTAACAATCCAACAATCTCATCACATCAAACAACAATACTCTAAAAATTCCCACATCATAATAAATTTCTAAATGTACCTCCTTCATTCCATACAAACCAACTTCCTCCATCTATCTTCATATATTCTATCCTTCACCTTCTTTTTATATATAACTCCTCTCCTAAATTCAATCCTTTATCCTTAACAACCTATCACTTTTCCATCTAATATCTATATCTCTCTTTTCTCATTTCATAATAACCCTCCCTTCTCTACCTTATAAAAAATAAACTCTCTAAACATCCACCCTTAAAACCACCACACAACACAACTATTTCCTACCTCAAATCATCTATTTTCTATAAATTTCTTCTATAATATAATATTCAATCTATTTTCCCTTCAACACACCCTTTCTCCTCCATTCCTTAATTCAAACCAAAAATCACACATAAAAATAACCCATTTCACTCTTACTACATATTAACCCTTAAAACAATAAATTAAACCCCCCCAACACACACCACACCCCTCCCACCCACCCTTCCACCCCATCCAACCACCCCCCTCCTCACTACTACTCACAAAAATAATCACTTTCCTCTCCATTAAAAAAACCATTTCAACCCCCCTCTCCTCTCCATAACCAAAACCCTTCCACATAACACAAAACTCTTCATCCCTCCATCAACCATAAAAAAATACTAATAACAACTAATTAAACATACCAACAACCCCAAATTCCCACATACACCAATAAACAACTTCACTACCTCACAAAACAACTACTATCTCATCTAAAATAATACCTAATCTCTCTTTTTCCTTCCATTCCATATCCCACCAACCACAAACAAACCACAATCACACCAAAAATCCCATCCCCTTCACCCCAACCAATTTCTTAAAAACCTTTTACATAAATTACTTATCCCCCCTCAAAACACTACTATACTCATCTCTACCACCCTACACACAACCACACCCCTTACAAAAAAACATCCCAACTAACATATCCCTACATATTATCCCTTAACTCAAACTTAAACTCCATCACCTCACCTTTTTACCCTCTCTATCCTATATATTACTCTCTCTTACACCCCCCCCCCCCCTAACTAATACCTATACTCTAAAAAAAACCACTAACTACAAAATCAATCCATTAAAATTCACAAACCCTCCTACTTAATTAATAATCAACCACATACACTATATATATCCAACTAATAACAAAATACTTAAAAATTTCACTCCCACTATCACCCACAAAAACTAAACAATTTAAATTATTCTTAACTCTCATTAAAAACTACCCAAACTAAATTTTCAAACAAAATCTAACCTTAAAATTAAAATTACATCTTTCAACCAACCCCTTCTTAAACCTTACCATAAAATACCTTTAACTCACCCTTCAACAATAATACTCCCAACAAACACATCATAAAACCCTATCCCCCCAACAACATCATTCCCAATACAAAAACATCCCCCCATTCCCCATCATCCCCCACCACCTCACAATTTCCACATCAATATTAAAACAATACAATCCAATTCATTAAAACCTTAACCCAAAACTACATCCCCCCCCCAATCCCATCTCACCCTTTTCTCTTACACATATAAATATAAAAAGACCATAACCCAAAACACAACCCCATAAACTCCCCCTATACAAAAACATAAACACACACATCCACCAATCTCTTAACCCCCCCCACTAACCACACCCATCCAACAACAAATTATTATTAAATTTCTATTATCCCTATCTACCCCAATACCATTTCCTTCTTTCCTTTTTCTTATTACAACCCTCTGTAACTTAATTCCCAACTTTTACATCCCCCTATTCATACCCATCACACTTTCATATACTTATTTACTAAAAACCTCTCTTCTTATAATTAAATTCATTAATACTATCCAAACTCCAACTAAATCCCTTCCAAACAACACATTTTCTTCAACAACCTCCATTTCCCACCACCCTTTCTCATATCTTCTCTATCCTCCTATCTACCTTCACTCCTTGTATCCATTCTTCACACCCCCTAATTTTCTCTTCTCTTAACCCCTCCCATTCTTTACCTCTAAATCTATCCCTCCCTATCACAATCACCCACATTCTATTCCTTACATATATTGTATTTAGAACTAACATGCACTTACTCATAACAATTTATATATATATATATTATATTATATATAAAATATATATATTATATATATATAAATATATCTATTTATATTATTATACATTAACCAAAATCCTTGACCAACTATTTAAACCATGCCAATGTGCTCTATAACCACATCCTAATCTCAACCAACTTCTAAAATTCTATAACAACTACCTTAAAATCATAAAATAAAAAATCAAACCTCTAAACCCCACCAACCCCCAACCTCACCCAACCCCCTTCTCCCCACCAATAATCCCCTCCTCTCTCCAACACATTCAACCCTCTAACCTATCATAAAAAAAAAACCAACATCAACTCAAAATAAAATAAAAAACAACATACTTAAAAAAACAAACAACAAACAACACCACCCAACACAACAAAACTTAACAACATTTACACACACATACAACCCACTCCTCACACCCCACCTCCCACAAAATCTGTCAAAATGCTGCTCTCCTTGTATATAAAAATCAAACCAACACAACCCTTAGACTATAAACAAACCCATCAACCAATCCATACACTCTCAACTCAACCTCAACAATACCCCCAAACCCTAATCCCCAACCCTCCATACTCAACCATAACATATCCCTACATTCACACAAACCCCCTCACCACACACTCAACATATTCCATACCCCTCCCCCATACAAAACACATACCCCTCCCTACAACAACTCACCAAACCTACCCAACACCCCCTCACTCTCCACCCAACTCCCCTCCCATCTATCACCCCCCACCCTTTCTACTCCATCCCCATAATCACCCCCAACACTGGTTGTGTAGCCCACCACAAAAAAAACAAAAACTCCAGAATAGATACTTTCCCCCCCTTTAAATATAAACTACCCATATAATCATTTCCCCTACAAATCAAAATTTATCTCTTATCAATTATCTATATTTAAAAATACAAACAAAAAAAAAAATAATCTCATAAACCCCATATTCCTTAACCCCCCACCCCCTCATAAATACAACCCCATAATAAACCACACTAAAAAAAATATTAAACCCTATCATTACCTCAAACTCTCACACTAATCAACCCCCCATACCAACAACCCACACCCTATAAATTTCCAAACCAAAACCCACATCCCACCCTACAAACCACACTCCCAATATCATAAATATCCCTTACACCCACCATCACCACCACCCACACCATCCACACCCCACCACACCTCCTAAAAACATACCATATTATCACCCACACATACTCCTATAATTTTCCATCCTTCTCTCTTCCATACCAACCCCCAACCCCCCTCAACATATTTTTCCTATAAATCCCTTCCCCACC